GGAGGGGGTACTGTAACGTAGTGTATAATACATTACATTATTACATTATCAATTTTCAACACGAGATAATTTAAAAAAAAAATATAATTATTAAATATTTTTTAATAATAAAATAAATTATAAATATTCAATATTAAAAAAAAAATAAGAAAGTTTTGTATAATCATAGAAAAGATATATTCGTTATATGTTAGACGGAACCTTCAATTTCTACGTTCTTTCGCAATGGTTTTACTGCGCTTGTTTGTGACTCGACGCATCGCTAATACTGTAGGTAATAAATGCAAGCCGGTTCTGGCTCGCCGCTGATAGCAAACTGAGCGGTCACAAGACGACTAACCGTCTCACTAACTAAAAGTTGAATTTTGAACGCAACGTATTTAACGTTTTCGATTTTCTTATTAGTTATTGCTGTAAAATAATTATCGAACTGTATTTGTTTCCTGTCCAGAGTACTCTTAGTATTATTACAGTATTACCGAAAGCTGTGTACTTATAAAGTTTAAGTTCAAGTGTTTTATATTCCCATACTGGGTAAGTTGTGCAAATTCTTTTATTAAGTAGTAACTATGTTAAATGGTGAAGTTTAAATGTTGGTATCGTCTGCGTACTACCAAGATAATGCTTATTGTAATTGAGAAGCGAGTGAATTTAGTATGTACCGTTGTATATTACCTATATGTAGGTGGTTTCATTATTTTTTAATAGGTTAATATTTTTTTGCTATTATCTTTAAATTATAGATAATAATGAGTAATCATTAGTCCCGCATTAAGTTGTATTTTGTTTCTTAAGCTTAGTTACTAGTTTCATCATTACATTTGACTGGCTACCGTTCTGAATAAATCATTCAAGCTGCTTTAACCACCTACACTTTCTTACGCCTTTTTACTAGCTTATTCAGTTTTCCTATAATGCTTCACAGTCCTTAGGTCGATTAAAGCCTGTCAGTATAAATCGTAAACCATCTATACGGTACGATTTCAGGAGCTTCGTAGGAGTTCAAGCCAAGCCAAGCCAGCTGACCACTACTGCTTGTGTTATTCCTACCTACTACCGCTAATTATTCGTGCTTCGAGCTTCGCTTCGATTAAGATCATCCACTACTACTCGAGCTGATCTAGTATCTACTACGGCAACTAATAACCTCGCTTTGTACTACGCAACGAAAAGAAGCTGGACGCTTAAAAGAATAGACCAAGGAGAGTGGTATTTATGGGACAGAGTGGACTGTCGTTTAAGCTGTGACCTGGCTTTAGGACCCAACCCGAGTTCTACCTTCTTTTATATATATATTTTTTTTAATAAAAAAAACAAAGTTAATTATATTTGCTGCGTTTTTCTTTGTCTTTTTATTTTGTCTTTTAAATATATATGACACAAGATAAACGTGACAGCACTAGCGATTTAACCTTCAGTAATGTAACAGGTACATCGGTAAGCATATCAGTTGTATCTTCCCGTATAGTTGGGCAATATAAATCACTCAAAATCTTTTATTAAAACTATACTAAAGTAGGTTTATAAAATTATTATCTCACAGTGCGTTCGTGATGGTGCGTGTCGTGGTCGAGCGTGATATGTTCGTCTCCGTCGCCGCTGTCCCGCGCGGTCGCGTGCGAGCGAGACGGCAGGAGTGCGGGCGCCGGGTGCGCAGACTCGCGCTCCGTCATGGCCGCTATGGCTGCCATCACATAGACACAGATAATATTACACGTGGACAGATATATCGTTCATGTGCATCACAACACACACCGCACATCTCACGCAGATGGCGAGCGTGGGGTTGAGTGTGCCGGGCTCGGCATTATAGTGTAGTGTAGTGTACCTGGCGTGGCCGCGAGCGTGGGGTTGAGTGTGCCGGGCTCGACATTATAGTGTACCTGGCGTGGTCGCGAGCGTGGGGTTGAGTGTCCGGGCTCGGCATTATAGTATAGTGTACATGACGTGGCCGCGAGCGTGAGGTTGAGTGTGCCGGGCTCGTCATTATAATGTAGTGTAGTGTACCTGGCATGGCCGCCAGCGTGGGGTTAAGTGTGCCGGGCTCGTCATTATAATGTAGTATAGTGTACCTGGCGTGGCCGCCAGCGTGGGGTTGAGTGTGCCGGGCTCGGCGGGCTGCGCGGGGCGCGAACCCTCCATCGCCGCCTCCGCCACGGACTCCGAACTGCGGGACCTGACAGATCACATATCATATGTCACTACACTAAACAACTTTCTAGTTTTAACGAGTAGTGTATTATGTATAACAATACTGACAAAGTTATAAACAGACTGAGACACATTTAATAAATAGTTTCCAAGGTCCTATATCAAAAAGATGTTATCATGGATCAAATGACTAGCACACCACAAGCGACAATTGCGGGTGCCCAATTCTAAGAGTTAGGTAATGAAACAATCATATTTTCTGGTAACCCTCGTTAAATAATTGTTCCAGGGTGGTTTAGACAAGGGCAGGTGGTGGGTTAAGATAGTTCAGTGAGGTTGGACGGGGCCCTCCTCCCTGAATCCTGGGTGCTCCCCCCCCGCGCAGTTACCGGGGCAGGGGCGTGGCGGCGGCGGCGCCGGCGGCGAGCGAGCGCGCGATGGCGGCGTGCTCCTGCGGCAGGTTGGCCAGGTTGTGGAACACGCCGCGCTTGCGGATTATCGTGTACACCAGGTTGGAGTTGCCTACACACATACAGACATTGCACTTATTATTCGTAGTATTAGTTGTTACTGGGTGAAAAGTTCCACCTATATTGAAACCTTGATACACGATAACTGAGAGTATACATGCACGCCTAATCGCACATCCAATAACGAACACACTCACTCACGTACTAACACACGCACACGCACGCGCACGCACGCACGCACCATAGAGAGAGAGAAAGATTCACACACTTTTATAATACAATATATGTAAATAGAAATATTTGTAGTCTTTTTATGTTATTTTAATGATTTTCTTGTATTAATGATGAATGTGAGTACAATTATTAAAATATGGAAGAGCGGAGCGACCTATCGCAAGCAATTTTTTGTTCAAATGGAAGTTCCATATACTGTCAGTTTTATGTACTATTCCGTTATCACAATAAACATTCTCTTTTTTTAGTTGAAATATATGGCATTAAACAGAGACTAAACAAACCCCTTGACTTCTAAGGGTTCCCGTATTAGCTGCATTTTTATCAGTACCATGCGCAATCTTCACGTAAATTGACTCTGACACTAAATCTTGTTTATAAATAACACTGATACAGATCGCTCGAATGAAACTGAACTGGGACGGAAAAATAAAGTATGTGGAATGAATGAAAATGTAAAATCGGTAGAACTGGAATGGAAGACAAACGTAGTACAATAAAGACCTGTTAATGAACGGGGTGCAGATAGATCAAAAATGTAAAAAAGACAATAACCCACCAGCGGTCTAATTGTCCAATTTCAAAATGTATCGCAATACTTTTTCAAGATTATAGCGATCGTGCTAAGATTTACGGAATTTCGTAACGTTTAAAGTCGTAGCCATTTTTGGAACGAATGATGATTTGAATGATCGAGAAATATAATATAAACTTAGTTAAACGCATCGAAAGATTGCAGTTAGCGTTCGACTCTTCCGTTTGACACATCTGAATAGCTTTCAAAGACATGTGCGTCTGGCGCTCGCATTTTTAGCATTTTTCGAAAAAACATCGCGTTCGCAATCACTGTTACATGTGAAAAAGTTGTAGCGTGAAGGTCGTGTATATCTATTACATGTGAAATTAAAATGGACTATGATAGACTTTAAAATTGAAATATTATCCCCTAGGTATTGAAAGGTAAAACAGCTTTACTAATCCAGTCATTATGATTCAATTTCAAATTGTACTGTTTATTGTTATGTTGATTTTATTTTCAAGTACAATAAAGTGTTCATACATTCATTCATTCATTATAATTTAAATTATTTTGAGGCTACCGAAAGAATACTTTTCTTTGAAAATTGCATATGTCTCACCGTCGAACTGGTACTGGATCATATTATTGAACATCTCCAGCAGGAAGAACACGAGGTGATGATGATGCGGTCTAGAGAACAGGAACCAGGGAGTGCTGAACGCCTCCAGGAGGTGGAGTAGCTTCGTCGCCGCGACCATCGAGAGAGTCTTCAGATACGGCGATACTGTCATTAACCGAGAAACAACTCGAGATAGAATCCATGATATGGTTCGAGTCCATTAATTCTCTATTGTCACCAATGAAGGCACTAAAAACATTATCATGTCTTTATCTCATTGAATAATCTAGTGGTTTTGTAAAGTCAAAGTCAAAGTCAAGTTAAGTCAAAGTAATGTTTATTCAAATAGACTTCTTAAAAGTACTTTTGAATCGTCCAACATTTTTTTATAATAAATAGTTTTTTTTTTATTTTGCTACATAGTGGTTGGTCTCTTAAGATTTGATTTTTATTGTAATCACTCGCATTTTTTTTTATTATTGCATGAATGTTTGTCTGATCAGGTTTAGAATAGACTTTTTTGTACTAAATTTAGTCACTGTAGGTCTTTTTAATCACATTACTGTTAGTGAAATCGTTGTCATCTTACATGACTGTTTGATGCCAAAATAAATGAAAAAAAAAAATTGTATTTACTTTCTAGTTTTAGATTTTTTAAATATTTAAATGACAGTTCATTTGATTGACTTTTGTATATTACGTAGAAAATTACGTAGTATTCAGTATAAGGATTAACGTGCGTAATCCTAAAGTCCGATTTACACAAAACGAGCGAATGCTCACTCTATCCCCACTCTACAAGTAAACAGTCTTAGAGCATTCGCCCGTCTTTCTATCTGGCTTCGCAAAGATTCTATGGAACATTCTAAGAATGCTCGATCGCATGGTGTGAACGCTACTGGAGCGTGCAAACAGTCGCTTAGTGTTCTAGTGATTTGAGTACATATTATTATCGATGACATGAGCATTCATTTGATGTAAACGTTTTTCAGAATTCTAGTTCTTAGTTCGAGAAGGATGCAAATTCTTGTCCGTTGATATTGTTTTGGTGTAAATACTTATTATGAACTTTCGTTTATATTAGAAGAACACGAAAGAACGTTCGTGTTCTTGCTCTAGCTCTTTGTTCGTTTGATTCAAATTTCACCTTAATGGTACACGCCAAAGAAGTTGAAAGAAACGAGTCGTTTCTATGTAAAATGTTTTTAGAATGTCAACATAGTTGATATTAAAATTCTATTCTAGTAATTCACACGTCGACTTTTGCATTTTAGAAAAAAAAAAATTTTTTTTATTTCTTCTGTGACACATTAATATACTGACCGTTGACCAGTATGGTGAGCAGACAGTCGAAGAGCGGCTGCAGCCGCTGGTGGCCGGTGGTGATGACCTTGTGGAAGACCACGACCAGCAGGTCCGCGTGCGTGCCGGTGAACACGGGGATGTCCATGGGCACGCTCGCCGTGTACGGCTTGTTCAGCCGCACGCCGAAGTTGCGCTCGCCGGACAGCAGTAGCAGTATGAACACGCCGATGTGCATCAGACCCACGCGAGCTAATCGATTACTTTTTTTATAATTATTTTACAAATAAGTCCACTCATATCTGAGAAATGATGCAGAAGTAACAGCATGTCTGCGTTTAATAGTTTCGGAGATATGATAGCGCTTCCTACGAATTCAAAGCCATCACATACGTCCGAACATATAACAGAAACCGGTATTATCACGTGTAGGAAACAAGCCCGTTTTTACCCGCTACTTCGCATACGGGTATAGCCAGAATTTTTTATAGAAGAATTTTTCAAAATCGGTCCAGTAACTTCGGATTATCTTCGGTAAAAACAAGAAATCAAATCTTTCCTTTTATAGTATTAGCATAGATCTCGAAAATGGTAATTTATATGAGCGCAATGACTATGTAGTTATTTTGGTTTTTTAATAGATTATAAGTATATTTTTTTTTCTAAATTAAATTGCAATTATAGATCTGTGAGTTACAAGAACCGAAACGCGGGCGGCCCTGACGGAGTATCGTGTGACGTCACATTTCACTAAACTAAACGTCGACGTCTTTGTCGCGAGTGCAACCGGTACTCATGTTTATTGGAATGCGACGTCCCAGTTCTAAATGTTTTTGCAATTAAAATTAATGAATAAATAACATTTATTCCTTCATAATAACACTTTTTGGAGAAAAATAAGTTGATATGTAAGTTTTTTGAATATATTTCCCAAAACAGTAAAGCAGCCAATTAATATGTTTAATTAAATGTCGTTTCTACAGTTAGGAGATGTTTTTCACTTACACTGGTCGGCGCGCGAGTCGTTCAGGTGGTACAGTATGGGCACCAGTACTTCCAACACGTCGCTGCTTTTAAGAACGTAGTACATGAATTTCTGTGAAAAAAATACAGTTATTTTCATTATTATAAAGAAGAGTGCACCAATCGCCTGCGATACACGATGCAAATTCTAATCAGGATATCAAGCTTCTAAGTTACCTCGATATGTTACCTACCTACAAGCTTTTTATTTTAACAATATTATAAAATCGGTTTTGTATACACTAGGATAGAGAAAAGAATAGCTTGCTATTCTTAAAAAATCTAGTCTAGTGTAACTCGTGCGTTTGTCTCGGTCCGGATTCTATTAGTGCTTGTTTGAATGAAGTCGCGGAATCGAGTGTGCCCATACTCGATTCATAAAATGTCAAACCATTGCATAATTTGCAAAAAAAAATCCGTACAAAACATACATGCCATGAAAGTAATGGACGGGCTCGCTACTTTTAAAGCTTAGTATGATCTTGACAAGAATTGAGCTATACAGGTCGCGAATAAAGCACTTTTTTCAGGTGTCTATTTTTCAGTTAATTCCATTTTCTAATAATATAGGTTTAAGACACTGACCTTATTGTAATCGCACATCTTCCAGAAGAGTACCAGCAGTTCCTGATGGAGGGCCACCTTCTTGCTAGAGTTGGGCAGGTAGGTCTGCGCGAGTGGATTGTTAAGTAGACGTGTCACACCGCGCAACAAGAACTGGAAGTCCTCGTCGCGGTGGATGCGAGACAAGTAATTGATGAACAGGTTGTCCGGGAGACTCTGGAATAGAGTACCTGGTTAATGGCCACTCCTCAATTGGAGACAATAGTGTGACTGGTATAATCCAACGATATCAGATATCGACAAAAAAGTAAATATTTTTATTGTGGCTTATTAAAATAAAAATAAACACTTACAAGTACTATTGCAATCACATTAAAATACTATTTTGTAAGAGGTCACATACTAGAGATTTTCAAAAACTCTTCATTGTAAAGTTATCAATTTTATAACTTTACAATGAAGAGTTTTTGAAAATCTCTAGTTGCTATTAGTCATATTATCTTTTAAAAATTAGCCATAGATTCCTAAAATCGAGATTCTTAAGCTTTGAAAATTGGGACAGACAATATCAAATGCTTTTGCCAGATCCAGCAATCGTCTTATTTTATCCTCCAAACTGGCATCTGACATTGAAGATTGAAACAGCTGATTGTGGGTCAAATGTTAAGATTACCTCATCACTGTCTTCATTGAGAGCGTTGCTTGTGTCATGGTCTAAGGTCACGATAAGAATTTGTAGCGCCACCTGTACGATAGAAATGGCTATGAATGAATAAAAACTTGAATTTTATGTCATATATTGTAGAAAAAAATTGTACAGTAGACAAACATCACTACATAATCATATACTTCTAAGTCAAAATCGAAATAATCTTTATTCAAATAGACTTCCTAAAAGTACTTTTGAATCGTCCAACATTTTTTATAGTCGATTTTAATTGTTGTATTTTGCTTGGGACCTTATTTTAGAAGCGCACCGTTAATTTATATTTATTTCTTGTATTAAAATTGTGTACATCACTTTTTATAGAAAACAAACTAATATTTTTACGAACGCACATTAATCTCGCGTATATGTATTGAGAAACAACAATCATTATGTCTATTTCCTTAAATTTGTATGACATTATGTATATTTAAAGATCGAATTGCTCTTTTCTGAAGCTCAAAAATCGTTTGTATGTCGGCATCATTTCCCCACAATAGGATCCCGTACGGCATTACACTATGAAAGTAACTGAAGTATACTAATCTGGCAGTATATATGTATTAAAGACGTCCTGAACAAGTGGTAGGGGAAAAAATTTTTTTTGGACGATTCAAAAGTGCTTGTAATAGCCTACTTGAATAAAGATATTTTCATTTCATTTCATTCTCACTGTGTAGAATAGCTACTAATGTTCCAAACTACTAATGTTACATACGTATTGTGTGGATATAAAAATGATAATTAATAGGATTTACCTCAACAAGTGGCTCTAGGGTGTCGTTGAACAGCAGATGGTTATACGGCAGGCCGAGTCCCACTGGATCATACGAGCACACGGTGTTCAGTAGAGATGTGAATAACGGCAACGCGTGCCGGTTCTCAGAACTCGTCAGGTAACTAACACACAATTACACACCTTAACTCATTGAAATAAAGGTCATATTTACAAAAATATATTTTAATAAGAAGTTTCCTAAAACTATTATATATTTATTACAATGAATGTAATATTTTATAAGAGAATTGTTATATGCAAAACAGTTTAGTTAAAAATGTATGCTAATATTATAAATGTGAAAGGGACTCGGTCTGTGTGTCTGTTACTTTTTCACGCTAGAACTACTAAATCAATTTTAATGGAATTTGGTACACAGATAGAGTGGATCTTAGGAAGGGATATAAAAGTTTATATCGCGAAAAATTGTACAGTAATTGGCTCAAAGGAGGATATCATAACCGAATAGGGGTGTAAACTTATTTTTAAATTTTGGATTTATAGATATGCATGGAATATATCTAAAAGAATATTTAAAAAAGTATCATTCATATAATGATACTTTTTTAAAATTGAAATATAAATTTAATTTTCAAAATTTCCCGCGAGAGCGCCACTTCTTTCGCGTTGTTATCATGTCACGGCCCTCTGAAATTAATATCGCTATAAGTATGCGTAAGATTGAATTTTCTAGATTCTGATATGAATAAGAGGGGCGTGACGTCAGACGCTGTTTGCGGTTACGTGACAAAGAGTTTTTCAATAAGCAGTGATTTCAATATTAAATTTAATGTGTAAATGATGTTCTCGAAATCGAGTACAACGCTTATTTACAGAATAACACTGCTGATATGCGAAGAAGATTCACGTCACACCACGTTATAACAACGTAATAGTGTGCAACGTACGCGATCCACTTGTTATGGTGTGTGGCGGCGGCGTGGGCGGGCTTGTATATGGTCTCGCTGAAGCAGGTGAGCAGCAGCCGCAGCAGCTCCGCGCGCGCCGCCTCCTGCTGCGCGCTGCGGGGGGGCGACCGCGCGAAGCCCACGCCCCCCGCCCATATGTACTCGCAGCTGTCCAGGGACGACAACTCCTCCGCGCGCTCCTAACGTACGCAGCCAAAACCACTTTTACTATTTGCTCTAGATTACACACTCTAGTCTTATTATTATTATTATTTTTTATTTTTTTTTATTATTTAATTAGGTACGTCAACATCATACATATTTAACCTTTATAATACAATATTTAAACAATTACAATTTCTGATACATATGACAATTACAGACATACACAACATTCATTTATTTATATTATTGCACATTCAAATCCTAAACAAACAATAAATTAAATCAATAGAACCAAAATTAATTCAATTAATCAAGTCAAATTAAATTAAAAAAAAAACAAAAAAAAAAGTCTTCTTTATTTTGTTATGCATATTATATATTATTTGATGATTGATCAATAGATAGTGCCCAACGGTGTTTACCAACCGATGCCATTGTATTGAATTTAATAAAGTGCTTTTAAAAATCTAGAGATTTTATACACATAACTGGCTTTAAAATTATTATTTAAAAGTTCGCAAAATTAAAATAGGAAATACACTAAATGACTGGCTATATATATACATCTATACATAAAAAGATATTATAACTTCATCAAGTCTTGCTAACTTATTCAGAACATAACCTTAAACATAATATTAAAGAAATGAAAAGAAAGAAAATATCATATTCATGTGTATGTAAGCTAGTAGTTTTCTATCCCAATTAAGAGTCATAATTCATTTTCAGTCATTAAATGAGAACATATTATGAAAGCCAACATTTGATACTTAGTAAGGATATAGAGTGTAATGTTGATAAGATAACGGTAATCTATAGATCAATACTCACCGGTCCCGATCTCTTGGTGCTGACTACAGTGAAATCTGGACAAAACAGGAGATCCTACAAACACATTGATATAATTATTTATCATATTAAGAGTTTCATTATTTGGAGATAATATATAATTTGGTTAGAATAAGGGGCACTGAATAAAGATAAAATTATTCTATATCATTGTGCTTACAATAATGTGAGTCAGACTAATTTAATGTTAGGACTTAACTACAACAAAATTTTCACTCAGAAAATTTCTTATCACAGTTCTAACTAAACATTGATTGCTGTGTTTTAAAATTGAAAGCATGTCATGAAAAAGGATTTTCTTTCTAAAATCTTGTAATCCTTTTATTTCTTAGTGGCTTAAATTTACAATCCTTTTAATCCTTAGTGGCTTTTATTATAAAGTTTAAATTTACAATGCTGAAAAGATATATATATATATAAAACATGTAACAAAGTATTTTTTTAGAAGTCATAAAGCAACAGTTTTAAATATTATCACTTACACATATTGCATTAATTAGTGATTGCGCAAGTGGTATAGACTGTTCATTCTCTGCTGCAGCAGGTAGTGATGACCAGAAAAAGCTATGCCATTCTGGTTCCTCCAACATATATGGCAACACCCGAGTCAACAATCGAGCACAGTTCAGAGCTGTGGAATGACACTAAATGTTTTTAATCCTACTAATAATATTATAAATGTGAATATTTCTTTGTTTGGCTGTTTGTCCATCGATCATGCTGAAACTACTGAACAGATTTTGATGAAATTTGGTATTAGCTGACTAAGATAATAGGATACTTTTTATCCCAATAAATAGTTCCCTAGGGACTATGCGGATGAAGCCACTGGCGGTAAGCTAATAATATATAATGTTTAGTTTAATTAACATAGAAATGTTACTTAACTCAGATTAGATCTTTATTTAGTTATAATAAATATTAAAATCAGATAAAGATCTACTAATTTTAAAAGTTAGTTTTTTTTTTGCTAGGACTGTATAGACCATCCTCTATTATAGATCATGCTGTGTATACTAATTTTGGATTATTGTCTAGACTAAGTAATCTATGTATTTGTATATGTATTTGTCGAAGTCATGTGTTGACTGTAATCTGTAAGTGTACCTAATTTAAATAAAATTTTTTTTTTTTAAATAAACAAAGGAAATCATACACATTTTATTTTATTGTAATATCAGCATTGAAATATTTATTTATTTTTTATTGCAGCATTTACTATCAGTCAACTAATAAGGATTTACAGAACACTTGCAAGACATTGACATTGAGAACTGAAAAACCTTATTTTTTTAGTAATGAGACATGAATACAAAATACAGACATTCCTAAGTACAGAAAATTTATTGCTTTATACAAACCTTTTATCCAAATTATAATCCAATATGATTAGATCTCTAGGTATCAAATAAAAAAACTCAAGGTTTTTGTTAAACAGAAGTAAGTACCTGTTTGCTGTTCTCTTTGTGTTCGACAGCTGCTGTCTACTGTTTTTACGAGTTTTTCAACTGCTTTGTAAACTAGAGTAGCTAAGTTATTTGGAGATTCTTCACGTAGCGCTCTAATTTCAGCTCCGGGAACAAGCGCAAACACATCTTGGACATTGGTTACGCTTTCAGACCAAAATTGATCCCAGAAAGTATCGTCTGATGCATCAACAGGCTGAAAAAATCTTTGTGATCAATAGAAATCAGAAACTAACAGAAGATAATTATTTTAATCAATAATTTAGCGATTTGCACCTGAGACTTTGAAGTCAACTGTACAACAGCTTTTCTGAAGTTCAATTTTGTGTCAGCATTGCCCATTTTTGTTAAATTATAAATCAAAATAAATTAAAATCCATTCTTCGATCCTCCTACACAAAACAATAATGATTGACATTTGACAAACAATGAGTGACACAATGACAGCTAGCCAAGACACCGAAGACGTGTCAAAGACAATATTAGTTAAGTACGTAGTGATATGTGATGTGATGCGGGCTTGGTTCTAGAGATTAACGAGTTTAAACGAGAAGCACTTAATTAAGCACGCTTTGTTAAATAAGTTCAAAAGCGCTTTTTCACTTATAAGAAAAGTATGCTAATGCTTATTGTACGTCCCGCCATCTATCAAGATATAACTACTAGCTTCAAGAAATTTTTCTGCAAAAAAAAAATTACAACTTAAGTAATGACTTTTGTTTATTCCTAAATCAAAAATATAAATGAGTTTTGTTATGAGGTGATGATGTGTAAATAAAACATTCTAAATATTATTGAACTGCATTAGTTTTACGATTGTGTAAATAAAATGTCGAGAAACGGTAATAGTATTGTGGTCTTGTATTTTACATAAAAAACTTCCTTTTGAATCACCCTATCTATGAAAAAAAACTGCATCAAAATCCGTTGCGTAGTTTTAAAGATTTAAGCATACATAGGGATATAGGAACAGAGAAAGCGACTTTGTTTTATACTATGTAGTGATAACACAATGTTGCACGCTTATTATAACGATTTCCAAACGTCAGTTGAACAAAAAGCATTTAAGCAATAAGTTGTTTTTTAAAACGCTTATTAAAAATCTTACAACGTCACAACGCATAAAAATTTTAAGCAGTTATTTCCATTTGTACTTGGTTCTATAGAATAGAATAGAATAGACTAAAGTTTATTTATTCTTCCTCATACATGAAGTTAAATAATATAATGTTACTTATTGTCTTGTTAATTTATAGACTGTTAAGAGGCAGACTGGAGCCAGAAAGAGGTTTTTATTTCAACCCGTATGACAAGGTCACCAGTGCTCGCCGCCTCCAGAAAAATATCATTAGAGTAACATCTTATCTATATATAAAACAAAGTAGTGAAGCAGAAAATGTTTACTGTAACTTAACAATAAAAACTAAAGAAATTGAATAATGCGGACATCTCTTAAGTTGTGTTTAAATGAGTGAATCACTGCTGTGTGTGTGTTTGTGTGTGTTTTCTTTGTTCGTGGAGTCGTGTAGGAATGTGAAGATAATCTTTGTATTCTAATGCTATGAATGTTTCAAGTAGGAGTGTGTTTATTTATATATATATATATATATTTGTTATATATATATATATATATATATATATAACGGCGGGTAGTCCGAAGGTGCTTATTACGCAGCCCAAATAGATCGTCCATATCGGAGGACTATCTTTAAAATAACACTGCAGGCGTGTATACCAACGTGGATTTGTTACATTTTATCACTTTTCGTACGAAAATATAACGAGATGAGCGTGATGTCGTCTGATGTCTTTACTCCTCGGCGATCGGAAACAGAATGTGTGCCAAAATGGCGGCAACTTGCTTTATATTAACGAACTGTCAAAGTCAGTGTCACCATTCTAATAAAATTAAGGGTATCGATGATCACGCTCTCTTTACAATCGAGTAATTAAGTAATCAAGTAACTAGCAATTAAAATAAAAGAAACTAAATCAAACGATCTTCGTAATGATGATGCGACATATACCTGGAATATATGGACCTTTAAGCTTAAGTTCTTAAAAACCTGACTACACGATAAAAAACGGTTTTGTTTGCATATTTTAAGCACATGTTTGGCACGGGCTATGTGCACTATAATGTATTGTCTATGTTTAAAAGTCTATGTAGTTTGTGGTATGACATTTTACATAGTATTATTGTGCTGTGCATTTTACTACCGGAAAAATGGCTGCAGCAAATTTAGTCCGAAGCGCTTTAAGTGGTTTATTACGAAAATCTGTTGCATATAGAACACCGGTAGTATGTCGACTTTCAACAGTAGCTTTGCAGCAAAAATTCCAAACAGTGAAATCATATTGTAATTTACACAATGACCACATATTACAAAATGAGGTGAGAGCCCTATTCAATCAATATATTTTTTCACATAATTATGCAAATAAAGTGATTGCGACAGCCTATATTCTCTATTATTACACTTTTTGCAGTTCTAACTCCCGATGAATACACAATATATTTTTAAATTTAACATTTTTATAACCTCAAAAGTATTGCATAACAAAGTGTACATATATATTATAAACTGTTTAGGTACAATGTCAGCGAATACGGCAATACTCTGGTGCGCAGACTAAGCTTTCATCGCAGCAAATTGAGGAGCGAGTCATGAAAGTGTGCAAGGCTTACGACAAACTCAGTGTCAGTCAGGTACTCTCATTGATTTATTTGTCTAATTTTGTTTCAGAACCCGAAATTTGGTATCCGCAACTACAGTGGAGGAGCTCCGCTCACATTAGAGCTTATTCAAAGTAGGGTGCTCCTTGTTCTTCAACTATATGACAAAGTTAATCCTGATAAGGTAGCCTATAAACTTTCATATATTATCAATAAGAGCTCATTTACAACTTGTGTAAAGACTGCTTTATTTAAATGTTGCAATCACTAATTTGTTTTGTTTTCTTTTTCAGCTGAAAGTAGATTCCCACTTTATGACTGACCTGGGACTTGATTCACTGGACCATGTTGAGGTCATCATGGCAATGGAGGATGAATTTGGTTTTGAAATTCCTGATGCTGATGCAGAGAGGCTGGTTAGACCACGAGACATAATACAATACATTGCTGACAAAGAGGATGTCTTTGAATAATGTTCATTGCAATCATAGCCACTCAAATGTCTTACATCAACTGCTGGAAATAATATAGAACCAATACTTCAGTTTATTTTTTATTTATAAAGTTGGTGTTAGACATCATCTTAGTGTTTAGTTTGGATTTAACTTTTTTTTTATGTGAATTGGGCCCATTGTTATCTGGAAGTTGTGTCATACTAAGTGTTAATTTTTTTATGGATTATATGCCCATTAGAGATCATTTGTTTTTCATTTGGTCTATACAAAAAATTGTTTTAGTATTGTTTATATAAATTAATTACACTTAAATTCAAAGATTTAATACTTTATAGAATTTGTTAATTTGGTACCATCCTATTACAATTATCACATAACCTTTATGATACTTAATTATACCAAAACATCCTAATGTTATAAGTAAATAAAGCATTTAAGTCAACCTGTATATTGATGATTTGCCACATTAATACCAAGCAATCCAACACACACTAAAGTTATTTAAAATACTAGTCTGTTTCCTTTCAAATCAAAATCATTTAAAATTGAATTGTTCGGTGTGGCTCTGATTCTTAACACTGTGCTGAGACCTTTTTTAAACTGCAAATTTTAAGACAATTTTCACCTTATTCAGTTTAAAAGAGGAATAATACAAGACAACATGGTCATGGTCATGTCGCTGGCAGGAAGCTAGTTTGGAAATTATCTTAATCTATTTTAATGAAAAATGCTTAAAATTGACACAATAAAGATAGTTACCTTGTATTTCTATCAGAGTATCCCCAGATTCGTCACTTGAAGAACTGGAGTATTCCAAAGATTCGTCATCTGAGTCATCTTTCAAAATATAATTGAAAGAAGACACAATTTCGTGCGGTTATATTATTTTATGACGTTGACTAGACATACCTACATCCGTGAGAAGAGCACTTAAACAATCAGTAACGTACGCTTTTTACGCAAAGCGATAGCTAACGTAATTGTGTTCTGTGTGGCGAACAAACTGCTAAATAAAACACAACATTCAACGTACAATTACTCGTTAATACTTCGCCCCGCCACCCCCACATCTTACCAAAGTAATAATTGTATGTCGAATCAGTTCAAATAAAGATTGGTCAAAAATGATCCAGCGGCAGTTGAAAGGTAAAAAGTATATTTTTTTTGCAAAAGTATTGATCTGGTAATGACATAGTTTTAGTGAATGTAGTGAAACTCCCATTAGAGCTGAGGAATTCTTGCTCATTCTTCTTATCAGTCAAAAGATGTCCTGAAAGAATGGTAGGGAAAAAAATTTAGACGATTCAAAAGTACTTTTAAGAAGTATATTTGAATAAAGATTATTTTGACTTTGACATATAAAATTAAAAATATTTTAAAATTTATAATTATTATTATTAAAAAATTTCATTGATATATATTAACAAATAAAAAGTTACGTATAATTAAACTTGCGTATGGGACAAAAATGACAATGAAATAGCGAGTCAGAGCAGGCTCCGGGGCGTGTGCCACCTGTGGGCGGGCGCGGAGGCGTAAGCGAGGGCGGGCGCGTGCGCGCGCGCGCTCACCGTAGCCGCCTTGATCAGTGTCCAAATATTTAGGTAAGTTCCAAGTTTGATGAAAATGGACATTATTCACCTAGTTTGCTATGTTTAATAATCCAATCATGCATGATACTAGATTGGACATTCTGAACTGAAAGGAGAAAAACTTCGATATAATAATCCTTCTGGGGGAAATTCAGAAGCAATAGAGCGACTATCGAATAAATGGGAATACATTGCTTCTTTATACTAAATCAGTGCTGCCTTTTAACTCCCAGGTTCGAGTTATGTGCTGATGGATAGATTTTTCGTTAAGTCTGCCCACGGCGGTAATCAATAAATAAAACAGAATGTCAGAATAATCAACTTTTAATGATACGAGACAAAACTCATCTCGATTAAAGAAAAAAAGACCTGTACTCTAAGCATACATTTTAACATTTATATACAGACTAAGCTCGAACATCTAAATGCACCGCACCGTTACGTACTCACACACACGACACGCTAGTCTGACGAACGTTAGTTATATTACAAGTGTTTATTTACAAGATATTCATGCAGTTTCGAGCCTCGAGATATATTAGCTTTTTTTAATAAAATAAATCTAAATATTCCTCTACGGTCGATCGACCGAGCACAAATCGGTCCGGTTTTTTTTTTACATAGCAACCCGGGCCGGTCGTCGGTTCTCGATACGTCTCCGGGCCGGCACTATCATAGCTCATAGCCCACCTCGCCGGAGTCGAAGAAAATAACGGTCTTTAAACAATAAATAAATAAGGATCACTGGCACGACTATCGCAAATCGTCCCCCCGGCTTAGAGCGCGGCGAGCCAGAGCAGGCCCCGGGGCGTGTGCTACCTGCGGGCGGGTGCGGAGGCGGAGGCGGGCGCGGGCGCGCGCGCTGACCGTAGCCGCCGCGCCGCCGCCGGGTCCACGCGCGCCACACGTACCACGGGCTGCAGCAGCAGGCCCTGCAGCGCGCGCTTCTTCTTCCTCAACTCCTTCTCCTCCTCGGATATCGACGAGCGCGACCGCCGTTTGTCTTCCTTCTCGGGCGGTTTCTCTTTCTCGTCCTGGATGAGCACCTTCACGCCTAGCTGGACGCTCTCGTCGGCTAACGCGTCCCCGTTCGGGTCGGCGGCGGGCTTCTCGACGACGGTTTTGTCAGCGTCGGAGAGCGAGGTGTCGTCGCTGAGAGCGCTCTGCGTGGTGTCGTCGTCAGGGGGCTCCTCGGCCGGTTTCGGTTCGGACTCGAGGCTGGCCGTCCGCGAGCCCTTCTTCGTCTTCCTCTTGTTCGGCCAGCCGGTCCTGTTCTTCTTCTTGAACTTGCCCCTCCTGCCGCGGGATCGCTCCGCGGCGCCGGCCCTGATCTCGTTCCGTATGATGTCGCAGTCTTCGCACTCGGACACGAGGCTGGAGACGTCGGGCGCGGTGGTGGAGGTGCCTATGACGGCCCCGCCCTGGATGCCGTCGTCGCTCATGTCGAACTCGGCGGCGTCCTCGAACACTTCGGACAGGAACCTCTGCAGCCGCTCGGACGCCTCCTGGGCCTCGGTAAGGACGGGCTCGGCCTTGGCGGCGTTAGGGGCGTCGCTGACCGTGTCCTCGGAGGCCGTAGACTTGGCGTCGTCGAGGTGTCTCCTCCTGTTGAGCAGACCAGCCGACCCGAGGATCGCCAGCGTCGACGCATGCTCTCGCGGAGATTTTCTAGGATGCGCTTCCATCGCCAATATAGCAGCCGTTCTCTTTCGTATTCTTTGCTTCTTCATACCCCGCGTTCCGTACGCCCGCGAAGGGCCGGCTTTTTCGTCTTTTTTAGTCGGCACCAGGTCGCTGAGCGGACAGCAGTTGGGTTTCAGAGGAGGGAGCTGGCCGATTTCATATGGTAACTTTGGTGCAGCTTTATTATACAACTCTGAAACGAAAGAAAATTTACAGTCATTGACAACATTCATCGACTTGTATTAGGGAAAATTTATCATTACAATATAGAAAATAAAGCATAGCAGTTATAAGTAGGTAGGCAATAATATAATGACTATAATAAAAATCAGCATCGCAGTTTAAATAGTAGTATAATGTTAATGTTACTTGTAATTTTGTTCTAAATAAAATTTTGGATTTCTATTCTAAAATGATTATTTCTTTATAATAAAAGTATTATTATTTTATCAGCATCTGCTACAGGTTTCCCGTACAATATATAATCAATAAAAGTTATAATCGTACAATATATAATCAATAAAAGTTAATAGCATAGGGAACTCTTACCAAAATACTGAGGTATATTTTTCACGACGACTTTATCTTGGTCCTGCCGCCGGAAGGTCTCGAACCAGGGCTCGCTCGCCGGCACCGACTCGAACGCGAATTCCAGCTGCTCGACGGCCGGCGTGTACTTCAGTTTGCCGTCCTCCCATTTCATGCACTTCTCGACGGGCTCCTCGCGGAGAGGACTCACCTCGGGCTCCACTTTCGGGGCTGGCACTGCGGAAGGGAGGGGAGGCTCGGCCTCGAGAGCGGGCGGGTCTGCTGCGGAAGCGCGTGGTTCCGTCGGCGGGCGGAGCGGGCCGGCCCTTCTTCCCCTCTTCGCGGCCGGGGCCGGCCGTCGCTTCCGTCTCCGTGTATCGTCGGGCCAGCTGTCTTCCTCGGAGGACTCCTCCTTGAGGGCGAGCGGTCGCGCGAGGCGGCGCCGCTCGGGCGTGGGCGCGGGTGGCGGGAGCGCCGGACTCTTCCGCTTCGCCCGGGGGACCTTCTCTTCCTCCTCTTCGTCGTCTGACGACGTCGAGCTCGTGGAGCTCGCTCGTTTTGGGAACATGAACTGCTCCGCCTCGTCGCTCAACACCGACAGTTCGGAGCGGCGGACCTTTCTAAACTTAACGACGAGGGGTGCGGTACCATTGCATGCGAGCGGCGAATCTTTCCTCTTGGTGATGAACCCGCCGCTCGAGCGGAGCTTCGTGCTGACGCCGACCACCTTGTAGTACTGGCGGTCCTCGAGCTGTTGCGCGTCTGTCCGTTTGGCACATCTGGTGTTGTGTTTCCGCTCGTCGTCGACGAGGCCGTTCCGGCGCGGGCTGCGGTCCGAGAGCAGCGAGTCCGGCGTCTGCGAGCGCTTGGAGCGGCGCTTGCTGTCGTCGCCGTTGCACACGTTGCGGAGGGAGCGCCGCTCGCCGTTGACGGCGGCCCTGTCGAGGAACGTGGCGACGTCGGCGCCGGCCCCGATGAGGGAGTCGAGCGCGAGGAAGTTGGCGTGGTCGCGCACGAACGCCACGTGATGCGGCGACCGCCGGTGCAGCGCTACGTCCAGGTACTCCGTGTTGCACATCTCGCAGAAACCCGCTTTCTGGTCCTTCTCCTCTTTCTCCTTGATGCGCGGTCGACTCTTTCGCGTCATTCTGAAACAGACGTGGGAATTAATCTCGAGAAAGTGTTCCCATCCCGAAAGGTCTAGTCGTCGAGCGGCTACTCACCTCGGACCCGGGACGTTCGACAGATTCAGATTCACGAGCGGATTCACCGCAGATTCCTTTTTCTCTCTCTTCTCCCGCGGCGGGTCAGGCTCTAGCGCTATCTCTGGCCATTCGTCGAACTCCTTGTAAACGGGCCGGCAGACCCTGCAACGGACGAATGCAGAGTTGTAGTGCGGGCGATAGGCGTTCCAACGGAAAGCGGAATTGAAGAAACGCAAATGCATACTTGTCCAAAAATTCAATCTTGATAAAATGTTTAGTGAAGAACCTGACATGCGCTTTACGCGGCGCCACGAAGAATGTGTCATAAAGTTTATCCAATAGACTTATAGCCTGAAATATTAACAAATATGCTGTAAAGATATAATAAGAATAAAATGACCAAAGAAATTTTGAAATCGCAGGGTCAAAGGTATTTATGATAAAATTATCTTGCTGCTTTCCTATAATAATTTGTAATTGTTTCTTAGATGATTATCATAATTAGGTAATATGTTATATATAATATATTGCACTATAAGAAGCTAACTTAAGCAAAAGTGTTTTAAATGCCAATGACCCTGTTGTTAGTACAGCAATGAAGAACACCAGAGAAATAGGGATGACAATTGGGTAAAAAAAAAACGAAATTCTATTGAGTCCATTAGTTAGATAATAGAAAAATATTATATACATATTTTTTTTTTTGTTTAACTTTAAACTACAGTGGCTTAGATAGGCATTAAAGTTGAGGAGCGGGGGCTTGCTATGTCACAGTTTTGTACAATATGTACAAAAGCGTGACGTCATATTTCAACTCAATGTATACTTTATTGGTAATGCAAAGAGTAAAAAAAAATCATATTTAATATTCATTTATCTTCCTGATGGAAAAAAATTAAATTGTCATCCCTATTAAAAGCAAAGATTTGTAAAAAGCGATCAAGAAAATAATTTTTAAAAATCTCTATTGATTTACAAAGATTTTTTATCCTAGATATATGTGAAATGAAATTGAGAGTATGTATGTTATTTATTAACACAATAAGTATAAATGATAATATTAATATGTAATGCAAGTCTTGTAGTATAGACTTATATTTTTTTACTTCTTTATCATTAAGCAAACAGATTTTCTATGCATTTTCATAGATAATCATTTGAAAGTAAGAAAAAATAAGAGTAAGAGAATATATAAAAATGAAAGAATGGAAGATAGAGAACATAACCCAGGCAAGTTGCACACCTTTTAAGCTTTTAAAAATAACAACCATAACCTAGTTTTATATGTGACCTAAGTTAAACAACCACCCAAGTGCTTTTGTGCAAAGTTACATAACAATAGCTCAATCTGACATTTACATTAACCATTGTATCTTCATTTTATGTTATACTTATATTCAGATTCAGTCTGGAATAGGTTCAAATTGACTAATGATTATAAGTGTACATATTAGAATTTATCCCAATTTATAAACAAACAGAGAATAAGAGTGTTAGTAATATGAACAAACTAATTTGGCTTAGTTTTATTATCATATATTAATAGCAACAATACATGATAGATCTAACGTCAGATGTAGCTATTATAAATTTGTGTATAGTGTATTGTGCAAGTGTGTTGTGTTGATAATCGAACCTGCTGTACGGTAAGTTGTATGTAGTGGCGTGGCGCCTGATGTGGCGGCGGATCTGGTTCGGGCGCCACCCGTTGGAGCATGGCATCGGCGCGGCGGTCACCGCGCGCGCATGTCGCCACCGGCGCGCTCGGAGCCCGCGACGTCACCACGTGCGTCACCCGTGACGTCAACAACACGGCCTCTTGCTGGAACATCACGCCATCATTACCCATATGGTAATTTACATATATGTTTAGATATACAGTAGCAGCATGTGTTGTGATGTCATCAGCGATAGCTTAATAATGTGTTATGTAGTTGAGTGATCTGGATATAGATAAATTCAATATTTATAATATTAGTATAGACAAAGATTGATTTAATGTTAAATTTTAGAGATTACTTTTCTTTCTATCTATACCGCCATGGTGTATCTCATGCGGGGTAAGCATAGAGGACTGATGTCACAAATATTACATTTTTATTTTGTCCTATTGAGAAAATTTCATATACTTCACCTATTGACCCAATATGCATATCTATACTGTTGATAAACAAATATTATGTACTTTTCTAGTTTCCAATTACAGATTATTTGGATTTCTATTTTCTTTCCTTAAATTCATTAATAGGTTTTTGGTTTTGGTAATGAAAATCTTTATATTTTCCAAAAAAGTAAATCTTATTTCTGTTTAAATTGACTAAGGAACACCTTATTTGTTACCATTGACATTTATAGGAATTATTTATCGAAAAGAAATAATTGTTTTTCTGCTCTGAAGACCACTTTTGGTTTTGCGGGTTACTACGAGTTTGCTTTCCAGCATTAATATATAGTGATAAAAATATTTTTTCACAAATTAGAAAATTTGGTTTATTTTTGTAAAAATGTGTCTTTAATTCTTTCAATAACTAAGATAACAGATGTAAAATTACACGTAACTGCATAATAACAGTAAGATAATATTAGTACAACTTAACACCAATAACTATTTACTTGACATTGCAACCATGAAGGCATCTTCAACTAAATATAATCTATACATATATTATATTTATTAGAAGACGCCTGTGACAACCAGGGTTCAGATTGATGATTATCTTGATTTTGATAATCAAAAAACACTACACAAATTACTTTTGTACTTTAGGACTTGTTATTAAAGGAGAACCGTCATAGAGAAAATTGTCTAGGACACTAGAACAGCTAACTTTTCATCAAAAAAAAATATATATATATATTTGCTACCATTTCACTTTTCTTGTTTAATTTTTATAATTTAAAACAACAAAAATAAAAATAATAGTTTCACCTGATAACTGTTCTTACAATCTGTAAAAATAAGCAAAACAAAGTAGTTTTTTTTCATAGTGTTGCCACATTATCCTTTTTCTCAGAGCATTTTTTATCCAAAATAGAATGCAACAGTACATATTATAATTCATAATACTGTCACATTAAGAACACTACTCCAATACAATAACTATGTTACATAAACAAGTTTAGTAAGAATGCATTTGTAATCAATTAAGTGAACTTGCTTTAAAAGTCAGCACAATATTATTGACCTAAAATGAGGGTTGGGTGAGGCAATGATGCTGATAAGTGAAAAGTTATAGGTACTTATTCTAGGAAAGGACTAAAGTGAGTATTTGATGTTGTAACAAACTATTGACTTGTGTGCATTGTAAGTCGCAACAGCGGTTTAGTGACGCATGAGGCTAACGACACATGGTTTTCCTTGAAATACGGTCACCAGCTACGAAAGCCGCCGGTCGTCGCAGCGCGCCCTAGCTACTCGCGCCAACCGTCCCGCGCAAAAAAAATAACAATCTCATTATCACGTACCAAAATCACCCTTATCATTAATGCTCTAAGATCTATATCCACTTGAAGACGGCAAAGTAATATCAACTGTCAAAAATCAAGCATACACACGCGTAACCCGTAGGAAACTACATTTGAAACGGCTTTTAAAATGGATGTAGTGCACTATGTAGTGAGAGAGCGCGGCGCGTCGCGGCCTCGGCCCGTTGCATTTCGCGCTGCGGTGGCGAGTCTAACGCTACTCTGCAAAAGATGACCTAAAATGGAACACAAGCTATTCGCTCGATCGAGATTCTTTATATGTTTCAAACATTTTTCTATAAGAATACGATATCAGTACAGTGTCGGTACGCATATGTGGGCATCAGAGGATATGTATACTTACACAAAAGCCGCCCGCTTGGCCCCCGCGCTCCGCTTATCACAAAAATAAGTAACTATATACTAGTCACCGAGGCGACCACTTCGTCACTATGAAATTTACTTCGTATAGTACCACACTCTAGGAAAATTCACTTTAATAGATATATATGGTATTTTCTGATTGTTTACATAATAAATAAATCTATTTTTATCGTTTTTATCACACATTTACCGAGTAAATTCAAGAAAAGTATCAACAAACACAAATCTGACACACAAGATGGAGATATTTCGTGTTTAGTTTTTGTTTTGGTCACAAGAGGCGCTGCTATACAGTGGAAGGGAGGAGGAAAGCTATTGGACGCCACAATGACCACGTTCCATTTTACGTCTAACTTTAATTTGTGTTATTGTTTTCAGACTTTTTAACACTACTTTATCATTAATAACATAAGGGAAATATATAATACCGTCATAGTTATAAATAAAAAAATAACTTTAAGAGTTTCTTTGAATAAAAATGTATTCGTTTAAAGCAAAATGTATTGGAAAACGGAACGTTCATATTATGTGACCAAAATTAGAACGTACCACAATCAAATGGAAATGGTTGGTCGAAACGTGATTTTACTTCCAATCCTGGGATTTTTGTACATATCTAACCTAAACACATGTCTTTACGTGTGGTATTTTATATGCATAAGGCATCAGTTAAAATTATTTTGGCGGCAAAACAGAAGGTAGTGCAATAAGACTTACCAAGCCCATCTCTCGAATCCTCTGTGATATAGATCTAAGGAGTTTGCGGTCTTCAATATCCAAATGAAAACAAAAATTTTTTCGAACTGCAAATACGAAATAAAATTTTAGCTGATATTTAACAATATTTGTATATTAAGTTGGTCGAGTCAACCAAAACATGGCGCACCTTTTTTTAATTTTTCTTCGAGATTCAAAGTTGAAACCATTTTTATTGACGTCGAACTTTTTTATGTTGTTGTCCTTAAGCACTTCACATTAGAAATTCCGTTAATATTTGACATCTCAATCCTTATTATTATATTAAAGGATACCGTAGATGTATAATTACATAAGATTATCATAAATTAATCGAAAATTAATTTCGTAAAATACGTTTTTTCGTGTCGAAACGCCAAAGAAGCGATAATGGATAATGACAAACAAGTAGACAGCTGAGCACCACAGACAAGAAGACGAAAGTGGCCCGTAAACAGATCGATAAAATAATCGATATCGGGTATATATTTTACACCGATGTAACATAAGCTTCTTGTAAGTATATTTTATTATTCATGGTGTTTTTTTTGTATTACCTATAATTACATTTAATGGTTTTGATTGCGTATTATAAATACCTAGAAATAGTACAAAAGTGTGTAATTAAAAAAACAGTTTATACATGTCTCATTATTATCATCTTTTAAAATTACGGATTGAACAGATAAGGACTAACTTTCCAAAGTTATATAACCAATATTATAATGTCTTTCTAAGTATAATAAATTAGAATTTACCTGATAATCGAGGTATTTATGAATGATTTATCTGTATATAGATATATTAACTTTAATATCTAACATTGACTTCTATTAGACTTTTCTTAAAAGTAAAAAATTTTACGTGTAGAAAATAATTTTAATGAAGCATTTAATTTTTTATATTATTGATGTCTACCTACTCCAGTCATCCTGTTTTTCTCGGAACACTATACAACGCGAGCGGTCGCTAGCCCGGGTTTTGCCTTATAGGTAGGCTGTTTATGGAAGTCTATATGTATTTTATTGATTGCTCGAGTTGTATGTGTGGACTCTATCGTCCCTCACGTACCGCGTGTACCGTTCCCGAGGTAGGTATATTCTAGATTATTCCTTTTCGAGGCATGTCACTTATATACAAATCCCGGCGGGTGTTCTTATATTCCATTTCGTTAATTTATCGTATTTTATTTTTTATAATGGTATACGTATGTCGGCATATCGGTACCTATAAAATCACTGAGGCAATTAATTAAATAATGGAGAAATATCATAGTTAGTAAATAAACACTAATTAATTTAATCTCTATCTATGTTATTCTCATAGATTATCTTGCATTTAAGAAATATATTACCTACTTCATGTTAAAATATTGACTGTCATTAAACACCTCGGTATATAATTTTTTATGTTCTATTTTTTTTCAGTTGTTGGGTGTTGTCATTTGCTAGAACCAGATAGCAAGATAACGCCCGGCAGCATCGCATAAATTACAATTTCTGGCTGTTAGATGTGGGTCAACCCTAAGAAATTTATATATTTTATATAACCCTAATCTAAATCCTACTCTCATATCTATAGTCGAGTAAAGTAGTTCAAGAAATAGCCAAAGCAGAAAATTTTAACCAATAGACGAGAATTAGCATTAAGTGCGAACAGTTAATAATTAATAGTCAAGCTGTCAGTTGCACAAACGCCCATTAAGGTTTAATGACGCCTTTAAGCTCTAACGAATGTCAAAATTGTATGGGTAATGCCGCTGTAAACTATGATAATTTTATTGGACGTTTGTGCAACTGGCTGAAAGACTTTAATGTACCTATTTTACTTCAATCTTCTCACTTCTTAAACAAAATTTACAGTTGTTTACATATAAGTCTTTGCTAATAGTATTATAATTATTGCATATATATATCTTTATTGAAATAAGTTTATAAGCTTTTATATGCGAAAACTGTTTACTGTGTACATTTATACTATATTAGTCACCACTTTAGTTATATCGATAATGTATGTTTTTCAAAGAAAATAAAGTATTTTAACTTTTTACAGTTCTCAATTCATTTATATTATTGATTAAAAAGATTTGCTTAAATTATTTATTATATATACTCGACCAACAACTTTTACTCGACTATAGATACAAGCACGAAACGAGTGCTAGATAAGACTTGGGTGTACCCACTGATCTACAGAAATTTGGAATTCCAGTTTCATACATCCGTCATTATTGTTCTTCAAATATAATTAAATCTAACTTTTTTTTTTAAATCGGCGATATCATAGTCTGCTACGATATCAGATTCTATATAGATTTTAATATTAAAAAAATATCAGTCAAGATTAATTAATTATCTCGATGGCTCTTCCTTGCTTTGAAAGGCACATTATGCCTTTAGTCACGGCGGCGTTGGCAGTCTACATTTCGACTGACATTTTTGTCAAGTGGGGTGTCGTCGAATAGGTATTTTAAAATCATCTTTAGGTTGCTTTTATCAATTTTCATTTTAAATAATAGTTTAGGATATATAACGATTTAAAGTTGTTTAAAAACATTCTCGTTAATTTTCTTACTTATTGATTTAAGTTTTTATTTAAGTATAAACGATATACAAACAAAAAAAAAAACAGTGAAAAGAATGAAGAATAAATATTTTGGTAAAACAATAAAGCATATGTAGCTTTGAGCCGAGTAAGGTCTCTAGAGGGACTAATCATCAGTAGTTTAGACCACCGCAAGTTACTTAATAATCCCCACGATATTAACTCCCTCAATGACATGACTAGATTACAAAATTTACCATCTTATAACGAAGTCAACGAATCTTACCTATAAAGTATAAAATAAAAATAAATAATTTAAAGAAAAACAAAAAACCCGACTGCGTAAATCGGGGCCCCTTGGGAAGATTTGATTGGTAAAATTTGAATGGGCCCCAACTGTGAGTCATTGTGTTCTGTATTACTTTACAGAATTTTAAACAACTGGGCTTGTTTATTTATTAAAATTCGTTTTTACGCAGTCGGGTTTTTTTGTTTTTCTTTTGTAAATTATGCTTATATTTTTAAGACCAAATTTACAGAGAGATTTATTTTACTAATTATGTTGGAAAAGCTGCTGTTAAATCCTTATTCATATATCAATCTATGATCTTCTTCTTCTTTCAATAATGGTTTATTTTTATTTATTTGGGACAACAACAACCTCAAATTACAATTCAATACTTAATTCTAGCATTTACTTAGAAGGTCAATATTAGTCATCCACATAAAATAACAAAATAATCAGCTTTAGTTGAGTGTGAAACAATATTGAGAAATGTCAATGGCCGAGCGCATCAACGGTAATCAACACTCTACAGTGCGTAATGGTAAGTAGTGGTTTGCCGTCGCTGCCGGCCGCCACGCTCGACCTTGTCTGCCAACTTTACACTTAGTGATACGTATAAATACATAATATATACATATCATACTAATTGTTACATTATAGGTAATAGATACATATATAATAATACATATCATACAATCATATATATTTTTAATAGGCACTTATTGTACTCCTTTGTCTGCTTTTGTATTGTTTATCTGCGCATTTCGCACGATTCTTTCTTTTTTTTTATGCTAGATAAGCAAGTGAATAAAATAATTTCTAAATGTAAAATGAAAATGAAAGGAAATGTTAAAGTAGTAAATTAAACACTGGAACATTGCTAAGATGTTGTTTCCTATGAGTAGAGTGAAAGCTAGAGGAGTCAGGTTCTCTGCTGGTCTTCACAAATAATTATTTTATTATGGGATGCAGTGACCAGCAGGCCTGTTCGTTAACTCAACTGTCTAAAATCGTTATTATCGAAAAAGTGAGCAATTCCAATGTATCAAAATCACATAAAAAAAAATTAAATGTCATCGGCGTTTTGACACTTGACCTTGTATCGATAAACTGTTATTTCGTATTCCTTAGTGATCATGAAAGTGAACGTAAATAATTTCATAATTCATTAAAAAAATTGAAACTAAAATGTTAAAATAATATATCTAACTTAAAGCACAGAATTAGAAATATATAAACTTTAAACAGCGATTTAGTTTTTGTTACCAGTAAAAAAACAACAAAACATTCACTCTGCAAAAACTTCCAAAACTGCCGTAAGTTTTGGAAGTTTCTTCAGAGAAGGAAACATTATTTCTAACCAGAATCTCATGGCATTCCGGAAAATTTTAATTTGTAGAAGGCAACATTGGGGAAAAAGAATATAGACGTCTTGATACTTGTAACACTTTAATATAATAAATATTTTTCAATAACTGACTCACAGGCTCACAGCATATTGAACGTAGGTACTCCTGACCATATCCCGATCTCGGTGATTGATTAGCCATTTGCATGGGACAATAATACCTATAGTACATAAACATACACCTTTACTATGGACTATTCCTGTACAATCTACACTCATAGGCATAATTATATTTCTTCAAATTCCCAGAAATCGCCAAACTTCGACCATATTATATGAAAGGAATGTTGAAAACTATATTAGAAGTAGAAACAACAAAAATATTGGAAAAAAGTCGTTTATTAAGGGATGCTTATCAAAAATCGATCTTTTTTAAAATTCATTGAAAATTTTTTATTTTGGTTTTGAAAATAATGAGGCAATTGAAAGAAAAATAATAATTGATAGTGGTCGTTGCCACCTCTGGCCCTTATGACTTCTTGGAGCCGGTTTGTCAATCCATTCATGATGTCTTGAATAACCGATTGGGGGCTACTGTGCCACTCGTCTACTGCAGCCGTTTTTAGCTCTCCTAAAGTCGTAGGGGCTGGTAATTTAGCTCGGACACGTATTTCAAGGTTGTCCCAAATGTGCTCTATTGAGTTAAGATGGGGACTGCGTGCGGGCCATAGTAAAACTTGAATCCCGACCTCATTAAGGTACTCACTACCGGATTTTGCAGTACGGCAACGTGCGTTGTCATGCATTAATCGGAAGTTGTCATCAATGTACGGAGCGAAAGGTATGACATGGTCTTGAAAAACTTCTTCCACGTATCTTTGAATGTTTACGAGCCTCAAAAGAGATATCTCCCCATACCATTATGGACCCTCCCTGGTAACCTACTGTTTAAGTTATAGTGTATGGGGCAAACCTCGCATTTTGACGCCTGTAGACACGGTGACGTCCATCTGGACCTCTTAAGGCTATTTTGCTCTCATCTGAGAACAGGCCGTTTTCCATTCCTCTACAATCCAGTCAGCATATTCTCGCGGAAAACCAAGTCTAGCTCTACAGTGTTGTGGAAGCAGGTGCAGGGGCTGGACGAAAAGCCCTCAATTTATTTTCTGCTAGTCTTTTTCTAATGGTACGTTCACTGACACTAACATTTCTCACCTGAAAAAGACGCGTACGAGCTTCAGTAGCGGTCGAAAAGCGATTTCTCAACACATTAGTGACAACGAAACAGTCATCTCGAGTGCATCGTTGTCGGCCTTGACCTGGCCTACGGGTGTATAAGCCTATCTCCCGAAATAGTCTGATGGCATCTCGTGCTGTAGTTCAAGGCACGCAGAGTGCCACTACCATTTTTTGCAATATGATTGCAAACACTATAATTTCAAATTAGACAATATTCGCCTACTATGATAGAAAATAAGGGGAAATGTTAACTCGCTAACACAACAGCAACAATGTAAAACGACTAAATTCCGAAAACCCTTGGCACATGTGTGTTTAAATAATGGTATATATGTTTTATTTATTGTTAGAGTACGCACTTAACAAAAAACAAAACAGTTGAAAAACCATAGTTGACGGCGATGAATGATACAGGGGGGCGGTTAATGGTGCCTGTGAGTGTATATTACCAACAGTACTTGCTTCGGCAGTACATATACTAAAATTGGAACGATACAAATAATATAAGTATATTACCAACATCTGATATTTTAACGCTTTTAAAATAAAACTAAAAATCGTTGATCTTCAGTTTCTTACAAATTTTGTTATAAACATCAAAATTTAAATTGCCATATGAAAATCGTTTTTTTTGCCATACCGGTGCACCTATAGTAGCATGAAACGAAATGTCGTCACATCTCCAAGATGTACTATATCCTTAGGATACAATCACGGCTACAGATTTGGGCGTCTGTTCAGCTGATTTACTATAAAGATTCACGATGACGAAATCCAAGTTTAATTAAAATTTATAAAGAGTATTGTTTTATTATACTTAGGTGTAAAATACACTGTAGTCACTCAGCTCCCGTACCCGGCCAGGATTAGCCGCGCTATCAAATTTAGCCTTCTGCGCTGGTTCAAGGAAAGTGATATATGGGTTGGGTACTATCATAGATATATTATTCATGGCTATTACTGTACCATAATAAATAAAACAACAAGTCCCACTTAAATTATTATACTTATAATAAAATAAAAATTAAATTAACATTTTACAATATTACATTTAATATACATAGCCATTTGTAAAAATCCTCATTTATACAGCTAGTGTATACCAATATGATTTAATGATTGGAGAGTAGACAAAACGAGATAGATTATAAAAATATACGCGTGGAGGCACGTTATCAGAATTTACTGTGTTGTACATACTAACGGTCACAAATTAATACGCAAAATTTAAACTTACCAAATCTATATATATAATAAGCATTTTTAGCTCATCTTATTCTATTGCTTACGGAGCCTCGTTTCCCAGAGCGAGAGAGATAACAAAACGTGTGAAGTGACAGCATCGGTTGGTGCAAGATCTCTATTTCTCCGCCACTTTTACATTCGTATCTATAGTCGGGAGAAATAATTACTTTTGAGAAGTAATTTGAATGAAATAAGAACTGTTAATAGCTAATAATAATAGTACTATTGTTCGTTTTCAACTGATTTAAGATATTGTTTATTTCTTAAAAATATTTGCTTAAGTAATTACTTTTACTCGACTACAGATACGAACGTTAGTCGTGATTGAAATGTTGCATCGTTTCAATCGCGACTAAAAGTGACGGATAAATGTAGAGACACAGTATCACTATGCGTACGAATTAAAATGACACCTGTAAACGAAATGCCAAAGTAACGCATTTTTCGATAATTTATTTTGCGATGGAATTGAAATCCTCACTCTGCCTCTGATACACAGATAATCTTCACTGATACGTTTATAACAAAATAACAAGAACAATTCGAAATTTTCGTCCGTGAACAAATAGAATAAGCAGGTGTCATGTAAATTCGTTCGAGTTATAGATGTGGTTAGCCTTTCAAGTTACATTTTGCAATATGGGAAGTCGGTATTTTTAATTATGTACATCGGTACATACATTTCGTCAGATATGCGGCACACAGTTATTATATGAAATAACACTTTATGTGTAATTATAATATAATAATTAGTTAATATCTGGCAATGTTGAGATATTGGGTTTTTCTCGCGCGTCACTAAAAAATGCTGAGATATTGAGTACGAAGCATATCATCGAAATGGACGCAATAAAGTTTGATAGAGTTGTAAATTCATTAATATTTTCCATCTAGTAAATTCGCCCCACGTGTTGAATTCTAAAATATGTTAGTAATTCCTTTTAATAAGGCGTTTATGCCTGTCAAATGTTGACCATTTACCTCACAGGTAATCGTTACGAACTTCATTTTATAACATCTAATATATGAACAGTGGTCGGAATTAGGTAGAGTTATTCATGTACTTACACTGATTTCATACAGCGAAAGAATAAAGTGGATATGCCTCAAATCCCGAGATTAATTTTAAAGAGCAGAAACAATCTCATGATTTTTTAAATAAAAAGTTATTTACTTTTACACAATTTAAACTACTGCACGCACGACGTTGCCAAACTTAAAGAAAGAAGAAATAAAGAAATCCCGGGAAGGTCCACATTAATATCAACATTTCGATGCAAGTACATAAATAACTCTACCTAATTCCGACCTCTGTATATGAATAAGAATGAAAACCATGTTTACAATATAATTTCATGAATTCAAATTATAATAAATATTTCATTAAGAAACAAAACAAATACAATAGTCGCCGAGTTTTATTTATCTAAAAGTGTTCAGTCCTATAATAATAAGGTTTATTTTGCATGATCATGCTTCAATCGCAGGTTTTCTGCCTGCCTTATCTCGTACATACAAACAGTAGCTTTCAGCTACAATAAATATATTATAAAACTTCTATATCTCTCATCGTTATCTAACTATACATTGCACTCCAAAATATTTGGGGTTATATTGATATAAGTTGATGCAATATTATATAGAAAAAGACACTTATCTCTGACAGGTAAGGTGTAAATTACGTTGGCAACGATATAATCTATTCAACACTTAAAAGTTTCGGATATTGTGACTCCGCGCTATCTGAGTAATGACGGACGCTCTTACGTAGATTCTAATATTCGTTCTGAACAGACACAAATACATACTTCTTCAAGCAAATATTAATATTAAGAAGAAACTCAAAAAGGCTAGACCAAATCAAAGTGAATATTGACTAATAATAACGTTAATATAAAATATAGAATTCTAATATTTTTATATTTTTCGTGACGTTTTGGAGTTCCGTACAAAAATTAAAAGTAAGATAAAATTTGAAAACAATCCGTGACCTAAAACCAGACTTAGGTTTCTATAGTGTAGCCAAAATTTGGTAACAAATTGTTCTCTATTTTAACTGATTTTGTTTCTTTCAAAGCTTATTTTATTAAATACAATATTTCTTAACGAGAAATCGTTTAAAAAATCCACTTTGTCCCTGGTACTCTGAGATGAGAATATTTTTTTTTCTATTTCTGTAATAACTAGAAATTTCAAACAGTTTCATCAACTTGATCAATTAACAGAATGAAATATTATTATTATTATTTTTTTAAATATTATATAAGAACAGCTTTTTGTGTCTGTCCAAACCTCTATAGAAAACCAATATCTCATAGAAAACAAGGCGACTTAATATAAAAAAAAACTCTAAACTCACTTTATCATCAGTCTCAATATTCAATATGACGTAACACAGTGACTATCCGCAACACCACATCGAGAATTGTAATATATTTCTTGTTTTTCCTTTTATTTATAGTTTTAGATAATTCTTATACACCCATTTTGGTCATGACTATAATTTACTATACAGAATTAGAAGTCCTAATTTATTACATCAGTGTGTAAATACTCGTTAGCGGGACTGGCTCTCCTCGCTCTCCCCGTTCGAGTCCCCGTTGAGGGCGGGCGGTGTAGGCGGCGTTATAGGGGGCGCTGGTATCACCTGTAAAAACATATGGTCATGAGATGTTTTAATTGCTATTGAATTTTAAGAATAAATAAAAATAATGCTAATCCAATTTTAAACACACATTTAGTTAATTGAAACACGAAAAACAAATTATGCAGATTGTGACAAACTCGAAACAACTAAAGTGCATTTATATATGTATATACATAGAATATGTCCCAGTTCATATTTGAACAAATGGATATTTTTTTTCGTCTTATTTATTATTATGCATTGACAATCATCATCTTCAGTCTTGAAGATAGTTTATTAAAAAAAAACAATAAAATTAGGATATAATTGTAAATATGATATATTTATCAGACACAAAATAATTATAATACTCCATTTTCAACTATAAAAAACAGCACTATATAGGAGTTTGGATCATTTTCAGTTGTAATGTACACATTATATTGACAAAAATGGAAAATATTCAGCTACTGAGAAAACGAAAAGTTCAAAATCACTTCACAGAGTTGTCTAATCTTCATTCTAAGCATAAAGATATTTTCTAAAGTAACTAGTAAATTCATAACAACTAAAAACCAACCGGCTCACTGTGTGATAAAACATTAGAAGCAGAATAGCATAAAAAATTCGGTTCCCTTTTAAATGATGATTAAAATAATAATAAGAATATAATGACAATCATTTTAAAAAATTTTTTTTAGTCATAAAAACTACCTACTTTTTCAAATCAGTTAGTCAAAGTATCTGAGTCGTAAACATTTTGTCCGTCACGCCCGTTAGATAAACCAACACCAAATAAATAAAAAAATCATCGATATGTTACAAATACATGTACGGTCCACACATCGCCCCCCACCAAACAAGGAAAGTAACTTAACTCGTTTTGTTTCTTCTTCAATACAAATTGTAATTTTTAAAATTTCCAGTATCAGGGTGAGACCTTGGTTAACAGGTTACTATGCTGCGAAAATTATACGAATGCATCGGTTACCAGTGTAACTTTACGATTTATTGAATATTTTTACATGTACACTATAATCATAGAAGCAAAAGCACAACATATATACACAGCTCTTTTATAATAACTATCCATTTAAATCTGTTTACAATTGATATAACAGTCATTTTACAGAAGTGACTCATTTCTATTTTATGTATACATTTTAAAGAATTATTAGGTGTATAAATTTTTTTCACTTAATAAATTGTATATTATCAAGTATTTCATTTTTATAAGTATCTTTTTATTTAATTATTTTCAACGTGTTTTATTTTACAGAATTTTACTTGCCAAAAATTATGTTTCTGACGTTCACCGGCTGCTACCGCGGTCCGCTCGCTACGCTCGCTCACCGTTCGCTCCCGTCTTTAATTCACAGTCCTAATATATCCTAACCCAGCAAAAATATATGACACCAACAGAATATGTTAAATAAGAGAGAAGAGATGCATTTCTTTGAACAAGTTGATTTTTAAACATAATTATTTATTAAGTTAACTTTATTGACAAGTGAATTATATGATATAAAATGTTAAATATCATGCTAACATCAGCCACCAGTGTCGCAGCTACGTCGCTAGTTTTATATTTTAGTAAAAGTGAATTTCGTAAAATAATCAAACGACGAAAATTTTACACGCGGACAACTACTGAGAAAAAAGCAAAATTCATTAGTACAGCTTTGTGTAATTTTAATATGAATTGAGCACGTTAAAATGATCAGTTACTGATACCGGCGATTACATCTAATACATGACGCCCAACCACAAACAGGAACATAAAGTGTTACACAACATGATTTCCGTTCCATAAATTTGAAAAACTATAGACACATATCACTTGATATTTTTTTTGTATTTATTAGGTAAACTTATGTTGCAGGATAAATCGATAATTTGCTTTACTATATTATTATCCTAGTATCTATGAATGATTAGTGCTTGATTCAAGACGCAAGAACCAACGTTCTTTATCATGAAACCAAGGGGCATAATAATGAGTTTTATTTAAATTCAATTAAGGTGTAAATTACGATGAGAATCAATTTGACGTAAGTAATATTTTTATTAGAGCATTTTGTTAATTTATTTCTTAAAACCATGTTAAAACATCATTAAATTAGTTTAAAACGCCTGTTTTATCTACACATTGACATTATCATCTAGATCAAATGGAAATTTATTAAATTGAAACAGTGAGAACACAATATGTGAAACTAATATGACTTATCAATAATGAGAATGTGTAATGAATAATTAAACGTAATTAAAAATAATAGAAAATGTTACCGAAGGCCACAGCCCGACGTTACATTGTCAGACGATCATGCTATGAATTAACTATCGAATCTAATACAACCATACCGTTTGCAAACAACGCATTCAGGCTAAATAACAGAATTTTCACTCATCAATTTCCTTTATATTAAAATAGATATTTGAAACTTAGTAAAAAAACTAGACTAAATTAGTCTGAATTTATATAGAAAAATAATATTTGGAACACATTATTATTATATATATTCGTCATATACGCGGTGAAAAATGTTTTGAATTTTAATTTTAAAACGCGTTTTTAAAGAAATTGTTGCGTAAAAATGGTACTGTTTCGGGAACGCATCGTAATCTACTCTACTTTGTCTATAGGTCATGCTGGGTCACTTCACTCTGTGCGTACGTCACATCCGCGGAGCCGTCCTGCTCGTCCACCTGTCGCGAACCAGAGATATCCGATCAAAAAGTAAATTTCACTTCACGGATTAGGTTTAAAATTGCGAGAAATACGTTTAAATTTTTTTGTATTTATTGTAAATGCATGAAACACTGCTAACATTTATTAGAGCATATGAAAATATAAAGTTCTAGATATTATTTTATTGTAAATTGGGTGATTGGTCATATATATAATTTTAATAACAACCTATTGTACTAGCCGAAAGTCACTCCACATTGTAAGTGTTATATTGTTTATATTTTTCCAAAAGAAGCGTGAAATATAAGTTAGATCTTTGTAATAATCAGTGGTCGGAATTAGGTAGAGTTATTCATGTACTTACACTGATTTCATACAGCGAAAGAATAAAGTGGATATGCCTCAAATCCCGAGATTAATTTTAAAGAGCAGAAAAAATCTCATGATTTTTTAAATAAAAAGTTATTTACTTTTACACAATTTAAACTACTGCACGCACAACGTTGCCAGACTTACATCAATGAAAGAAAGAAATAAAGAAATACCGGGAGGGTCCACATTAATATCAACATTTCGATGCAAGTACATAAATAACTCTACCTAATTCCGACCTCTGGTAATAATACAACTATATCACTTATTTATATATAGGCTTCAAACTAGATACAACACATGATCATGTTCCAATCTAAATTACTGTATATAACACACAAGAATTGACAACATTAAATATTATAATTTACTTTATCTTGGTCATAAATTATATCACTTACGAATTTCGTTAGAGTATGTAATATGTAATAGTATTCTGCTATAATACACCTTATATCCAGTCTAGGAAGTGTCACAAAATTGACTATAATCAAACATCGTGCTACTTTATAATCTAAGATATTAAATATCAGAAAAGCTGGGCACGCTGTATTCTGCAAACATAAGAACATGCTCACAAGCATATATTCGCGACGAGTACCTAACCCAAAGAGTAATAGGTTTGTTTGAGTGTTGGATTAGTGCCTGCATTTCCATACAGACGGTATATCCTGTTATGCTACAATAGACGTTATGTGAATGTGTTAGAGCTTACAGTGGGTTTGGGCCGGTGCGTGTCGACGGCCGCGACGGACAGCTTGATGTGTTCCTCGCGACATCCGTACGCGACCGGCGTCAGTTTGATCACAGTGTGGAGGGGCACGTGGAGGTACGGAAGTTCCTCTGTGAATAAGACGTTATATGTATGTAAGATTCCGTTGTTTATTTAAACTTTGGCGCGCTTTTTAATGTCATGATTCAAAAGATGGCGCTATCTGGGAGAATGATAAAGCAGAGGTGAAGAACATTTTGATTTTTGATTTTAAATATAGTGCGAAAAGTGAATTATGACTATAGTTTGCATCAAGGTAATTTTATTTTGTGTTGAAGTGTAAAAGTATTATACATGGGATTGATTTATCTGTTCCAAAATTTTGGATAGAATATCCCACAGTTTTATGTGTAGTTAAATTATGATGTCTTTGTTCGCATCAAATAGGGGTATAGAGTCGCCGCTAGTGTAGTCTTCGAAATATCACTTATGATACTGTGTGGCGTAAAAAGCGATTGTTTTTTAAGGATTTACCTATCTTATGGTTAGTTGCACGAACATCCATTATTGTTTAAGTTCTAATTTATGTTCTAAATTTGAGAATTCGTATGAGTAATGTGGCATTACACAACATAATTTTAATGAATGTTTGTGCAACTGACTGTTAGATATTGTGAAATATCCGAATAGCCGTCAATCGGTAACATGTGTCCTTTGAGCCCTTTTCAATCAGAACATAGTAAGACTACTGGGTACTCTGAGCCAGTATATAAAATCACGAGAGCATGGCAATTTTTATATTTTATTTCCCTTGAGATCAAAATTGAGGCATTTATAACGCCTCTCTGGACGATGGTTCGGCAGATACAAAACCCCCGCACTTACGTAAGAGATGTGAGTATTATCGGTGTACCTGCAGATTTGTCGAGGAAGTAAGCCAGCAGGCACCGCATGACGGCCTGGTGCGACACGACGAGCACGTTCCCCTGCCGCTCCAGCTCCATGATGACCGGCTCCAGCCTCGCCACCAGGTCCTCGTAGCTCTCCCCTCGAGGGTATCTATACGCGAACTTGTTCTGGTCGCGAGCGTTGAAGTCTGATGGGTACTTTTCTTGGATCTCCGCGTACGTCATCTCCTCGCAGATGCCCTACGTGAACATTATAGACGTACAGTACGTTCTAGAAATGAGCACAATGTAATCCTAGCTGTTGATTACTATATTTTGTTTTCATATCTGCATCTATCATGAATTGTTTAGTACAACTATCTGAGAAATATTATTTACATCAGCTGATCATAAATGGCTTTGCAGATGAGATACAGGCTTTCTAGGCGAACTGATTCCGCAGGACCAACGGTTTCCGCAGTATGGAAGCAGCCCAAATTATACTTTTTTTTGCTTTCTTGAACGGTCTTTTAAAAAGATACGTAACTTCCGCAATTTATTATTATGATCATATAACATTGCTCGCTATATTATACCATCTTTGAAGGTTATCAAAAAATGGTAGCTACTAACAGGTTAAGCATGATGTAGAAAAAATTGAACTAAATTGTTTACAATTAACACTTGTACTATGTTAAAAAGTTGTGTAATCGATTCTATTTCCGATTATGACCAAATGTTTTGATATTTCGTTATGTCAACGACAGTTAAATCGTTTAATGAAGTGAACACGAGCAGGCACTCACGGCATCGATCTCGTTGAGCGCCTTCCACCTCTCCTGCGGCGCGCGCACGTCCTTGACGGTCTGTATGGCGCGCCGCATCCACGAGGTCCACACGCGCAGCCCCGGGATCTGCTGCTGCTCGATGTACCCCGCCAGCGCGCACGCGTACTGCACCCCGCGCCCCGACAGCGAGCTGTCCCCGCCTATGCGGCCCAGCGTGTTGTGCACGCTCTCCCCGTGCTGCACAACACACGACTGTCTCACACCTAGCGCATACACAGCGAGCTGTCCCCGCCTATGCGGCCCAGCGTGTTGTGCACGCTCTCCCCGTGCTGCACAACACACGACTGTCTCACACCTAGCGCATACACAGCGAGCTGTCCCCGCCTATGCGGCCCAGCGTGTTGTGCACGCTCTCCCCGTGCTGCACAACACACGACTGTCTCACACCTAGCGCATACACAGCGAGCTGTCCCCGCCTATGCGGCCCAGCGTGTTGTGCACGCTCTCCCCGTGCTGCACAACACACGACTGTCTCACACCTAGCGCATACACAGCGAGCTGTCCCCGCCTATGCGGCCCAGCGTGTTGTGCACGCTCTCCCCGTGCTGCACAACACACGACTGTCTCACACCTAGCGCATACACAGCGAGCTGTCCCCGCCTATGCGGCCCAGCGTGTTGTGCACGCTCTCCCCGTGCTGCACAACACACGACTGTCTCACACCTAGCGCATACACAGCGAGCTGTCCCCGCCTATGCGGCCCAGCGTGTTGTGCACGCTCTCCCCGTGCTGCACAACACACGACTGTCTCACACCTAGCGCATACACAGCGAGCTGTCCCCGCCTATGCGGCCCAGCGTGTTGTGCACGCTCTCCCCGTGCTGCACAACACACGACTGTCTCACACCTAGCGCATACACAGCGAGCTGTCCCCGCCTATGCGGCCCAGCGTGTTGTGCACGCTCTCCCCGTGCTGCACAACACACGACTGTCTCACACCTAGCGCATACACAGCGAGCTGTCCCCGCCTATGCGGCCCAGCGTGTTGTGCACGCTCTCCCCGTGCTGCACAACACACGACTGTCTCACACCTAGCGCATACACAGCGAGCTGTCCCCGCCTATGCGGCCCAGCGTGTTGTGCACGCTCTCCCCGTGCTGCACAACACACGACTGTCTCACACCTAGCGCATACACAGCGAGCTGTCCCCGCCTATGCGGCCCAGCGTGTTGTGCACGCTCTCCCCGTGCTGCACAACACACGACTGTCTCACACCTAGCGCATACACAGCGAGCTGTCCCCGCCTATGCGGCCCAGCGTGTTGTGCACGCTCTCCCCGTGCTGCACAACACACGACTGTCTCACACCTAGCGCATACACAGCGAGCTGTCCCCGCCTATGCGGCCCAGCGTGTTGTGCACGCTCTCCCCGTGCTGCACAACACACGACTGTCTCACACCTAGCGCATACACAGCGAGCTGTCCCCGCCTATGCGGCCCAGCGTGTTGTGCACGCTCTCCCCGTGCTGCACAACACACGACTGTCTCACACCTAGCGCATACACAGCGAGCTGTCCCCGCCTATGCGGCCCAGCGTGTTGTGCACGCTCTCCCCGTGCTGCACAACACACGACTGTCTCACACCTAGCGCATACACAGCGAGCTGTCCCCGCCTATGCGGCCCAGCGTGTTGTGCACGCTCTCCCCGTGCTGCACAACACACGACTGTCTCACACCTAGCGCATACACAGCGAGCTGTCCCCGCCTATGCGGCCCAGCGTGTTGTGCACGCTCTCCCCGTGCTGCACAACACACGACTGTCTCACACCTAGCGCATACACAGCGAGCTGTCCCCGCCTATGCGGCCCAGCGTGTTGTGCACGCTCTCCCCGTGCTGCACAACACACGACTGTCTCACACCTAGCGCATACACAGCGAGCTGTCCCCGCCTATGCGGCCCAGCGTGTTGTGCACGCTCTCCCCGTGCTGCACAACACACGACTGTCTCACACCTAGCGCATACACAGCGAGCTGTCCCCGCCTATGCGGCCCAGCGTGTTGTGCACGCTCTCCCCGTGCTGCACAACACACGACTGTCTCACACCTAGCGCATACACAGCGAGCTGTCCCCGCCTATGCGGCCCAGCGTGTTGTGCACGCTCTCCCCGTGCTGCACAACACACGACTGTCTCACACCTAGCGCATACACAGCGAGCTGTCCCCGCCTATGCGGCCCAGCGTGTTGTGCACGCTCTCCCCGTGCTGCACAACACACGACTGTCTCACACCTAGCGCATACACAGCGAGCTGTCCCCGCCTATGCGGCCCAGCGTGTTGTGCACGCTCTCCCCGTGCTGCACAACACACAGCAGCTTAACAGTTACGCTTTCAATACGAGAATATACAGAGCTGGATATCCTGATGACTGTACATTTTAGCAAATGTGAAATCTATTTCATTAATATTACAAGGGACAGCCATCATAATACAAAGGGTGTCGAGTAAGGGATGCGGAAATAGCTCGCCGTAAATCATGTTGCAATAATAAAAGATCGGTCAAAGTTTTCTCGCAGATAGGGATGTAATGTGTGTGCCAGCATATAACTTTTTATTTATATCAAAATCAAACTCTATGAAGTTAATCAATGAAGAGTTTAGACTAGGCCACACAATTAATTTTTATTCGCCGACGCATTTTTTCTGCGTTTTTCGCAGTGCATGACATACACCATGGTATATGAACACATATATTAAAATAATTCTTTGGCTTTAATCAGTGACACAGTCAATTTGTAACTTAATTGATTTGCTCATTGCTGAAAGAGCCTTAGTCCATTTCAATTTATTGAATCAACTAACAAAAAGGCATAGAAAAACTTTGTGCCCTTTCTGCACAAACTGTATAGTTTGATGATCGTGATATTGTACCAGTGTTCGGATTAATGCTGTTATTGCATAATTTAATTCGGCTACGGTCACGAAACATTCCGTTTAACCAATTTTGTTTTTAAAATATATTGGACTTTAGCCCTTTCTGCAATATGCGATTCAATTAGACACTACCAATATAAATAGATACTTACCCTGGTTAGATATATGGTTCTCGGTACAATGTGTATATTCATCAGGTAATATACAATCCTCGATTGTATGTGACCTTCATGTTTGTGCACCACAACTTTCTCTCCAGTGTCATAAATCTTCATGAAACTATATTCGGACTCGAGCCGTTCGTCCAGCGGCTCATACCTCTCCTTGTAATGTTCTATCCGGAGTAGAAAGTCGTCCAGAACGTTATCCATGTCTTGTATGTTTGTGTAATCTGGACTGCTCACTTTTACTTCCTAAAACAAATATGGAGCCGCTTAAAGGTGAGTACAATTGGGGTGATGCCTGGTTAAAAAAAAGAAATTCTATTTAGTTCAGATAATAGAAAAATATTAGATATGTATTTTCTTTTGGTTCAATTAACAAAAATGGCTTAGATAATATATCAATAATAGGGATTAAAGTTGATGGGTGGGGCTCCACAACTATTAGGTTAGGAAAGTCTTTTGGCATATAGTATAAACTTGACTAATGAAGACATTTGATACAATATAAAATTTTATTAGAAACAAGGTAAAAATGTAATGCAAGCCGCGAAAAATTTGTGACGTTTTGCTGTTTCTGTGAGAGCAGCACAAACTTTGTATAAGCGTTTTCAGTCCGGAAATTTTGATATCAAAGATGCACGTTGCTCCGGTCGCCCTGTTACGGATAAAATGGATGCCATATTTGAAAAAGTTGGATCAAGATCCGCTTATCAGTAGTTACAACGTAGCTGAAGAACTGGGAATTGACCAACAAACTGTTTTGGTGCATTTGAAAATAGTTGGGTACACAAAAAGTTGGATATTTGGGTACCTCACGAGCTCACTGAAAGAAACCTTTTGAACCGTGTACTCATTTAAAAACCTAACAAACCACTGGGAATCATGTGTCATTATTTTTAAAATAACTGTAAATCAAAAATGTCTTGAAAAAAAAATCACATATTTCCGAATTTTCAATTCTAGCTTCAGTAAATATTAGGCATAATCGTCGAATTTCTCTACTCGATTTTAAACCTTAATAAATTAAGGGTTGGAGTATAAAATCAATTGCGGAAATCAGACGAACAAAATTAATAAACGTTAACTCACCATAATATTCTGTTCTATGATCCTAGGGTCATCGCATATGGACTCCACAAAGAACAACTTAAAGCCCATTTTGTGCACAACTATGTCACGTATCATCCGCCGCCTGTCTAACGTGGAGTTGGTTGCATCGAACACCTGCAAGCGATTATATACATTAGCGCTTCATCTGATTATGGTGTATTATAGTCTGCATTTAACTTAAGTTATAGACCATTTTGTCTTTAGTCATGTGGCTATGACACCAAATCCGACTTACTTGTTTTTGGCATTTGAATGCTCTAAGACAAGTGAAAGAGAAATATTGCTTAGTTAATTATTGAATTTTAATGAATACAGGGATTGTGTTCTTTTTCTCCTATGGCTTAGTATCTTTTGTACATTTGCGAAAAATCTGCGATCTTTCATTTTTAATTATTAAAATTGATAGGTAGTTAAATTTTTATTTTAATATTGATTAAATTCAAATTCATATTGATTTATATGTCAAATTTTTGGGTATACAAACATATGCAAAGCCCAACAAAAATCTGCCTAGTTCGGCGTACAAATATTACATAATAATGTGAAATTATATTAAATTATGTATTATATTAACATTTTCATATCTATTACAATAGTATAGTCCGGTCACATAACAGAGAGAATACGGTACAACAAACCGATATCCCTTTTACATGTGCCTACGAGCGTAACAATAGTTATGTATCTATTGTTTCTGCGCTCGCACAGATTGATCTAGCCAATTTTGTCATAGTAAACCTAAATGTTTACGATATCTATCAGTAGGCGACGTCAATGGTCAAGGTGCGCAATTCTCTGTATTTGGCGCATGGACTTTAGCGAATAAACTGTGGTATATTGACATAAAAACGGTCATCGACCTGTGTACAGTAAGTATATCATTATAAGAAGCAAAATGTTAAAAGACATGTCTTTATTATTTTTTACCTCCTAATTTATGAGGGCAAGAAAAGAGACAAATGCAATGTTAATACGATTCACCTTAACGGACAGTAAATGAAACTATACTTATTGCCTATTTAAGTAATAAATATACAACTCACAGCTACTTCGCCCCCTTTGACGAGCCACTCGCAGACATCGTGCAGGGCGTCCAGCGCGCACTGCTGCCTGATCGCCATGGCTTCTTTGTTATCAGCGCGGAAGAACTCATGACTGGTGTACGCAGTTGTCGCGTGTCTTCTGTACTCACCGAGGTTAAACACTGCCAGAGTATAGTTAATACATATTTAGATAGCATATAAAGAGTTACATCAAATGCATTAGATATCATATTCGTTATTACGTTTCCTATTAAATGCACACTAACGCTAATTTTAGACATTTTAAACAAACTTTAGCGTCGGAGTAAATTTAATCTGAGACTGCACTTAGTATTAGTAAAAGTTCATATTATTAAACAGACACTTGGTAAAGGTTAATTTAGTGCAAGGTTCTCTAGGAGTAATATTTACATCTAGAAGGTAGTAAGTTTGCTTATTCTCTGTTTAACATGAATTTGGACTAATACTAAAATTGCTATGCTAGCATAAATTTACTTTGACGCTCAACCTTGTTTATTAATAGTAATGTTTAATGATTATTTAAGGCATTTTTACCTTATTTTGATCCAGTTCCCGATATTTTGGTGCCGTTGCTAGCGCCTTGGTAACGGAGCAAATATCGGGGACTCGATTAAAAAAACCATTAATGCTAATAACCATGAAAGTTAAAAAAGTAATGCTTATATTGAATTATGAGTTTTATAAAAAAAATCTGCTACCTGTATGTTTAAAAAACATAAAATAAGTTAAACTGCATTTTCTTAAAAAAAAAATTATTTCGCAAATGGAAAATAATGTCAGCAGCATAAAGTAGCCTCAAATCTTCATTAAGATGAAATAACATAGATGAAAATGTATTACTTGTAAGTACTACGACTTACCTCGAGTGTTGATACCTATCCAGTTTAGGTACCTTGATAGTTTCTTTGATATATAAGTCTTCCCTCGAGCGGGGAGCCCCACCATAGCGATTACATGAGGTATGTTCACATAGTTTGCTCGTTCACCTGAAAAAAATAAACAACATTTTCTTATATAATCCATATTATAATAATAAAGAAGTATAGCAAAGCCGCCGAACAGAGAGAATTTTGTACATTGACCCAGCACTACACATCTCTTTCGTGTGCATAAACGTATCGCTAATGCACTCACACAGAAGCATCTAGCCAATTTTGTCAGAGTAAAGTGAACCTAAAATGTATTTATCAGTAGATACAAAAGGGAAAATTCTTCAATACTTGCATATTGCCCATTCTTACTTACGGATGCGAGACATGATTACTTAATAGATCCCATTTGCTGAAAATAAGAACTTGCCAAAGAGGGATGGAAAGAAGCATGTTAGGTATTACAAAAATGCAAAAATTAATGCATACAACAATTTGAACCAATATAAGAGTCGCGGAAAAGTGGAGTAAAACAATACTGAAGTGGAACCCAGAGATAGGAAAAGGAGGAGAGGGAGGCAGTGGAGACGATGGGAAGAACTAGCAAAAACTGCAGGAGTGACATGGACTAGATTGACATCAAATAAAAACAATTGGGTAAGATTGGGGGAGGCCTACGCCAAAAGGCAAACAGAGATAATCGATGAAACAACTTATTAAATATTGACATATAATATCTAACATTGACATAAATAAATAATCCAACATTGACATATATATCAGCATACATTAAACAAGATAATCTAAGAATAAAATTGTATCAATTAAAAGTATATTTAACATGTAAATTTAATGGTTCTTTGAATGAAGGCATATTATTAATATTATTATTAGGCACAAAAGTCAACACATGAAAGTCTTTCTGTTTGGCGACTGTGCTATAAAGTTTGTAACTTTAATTGTTTGTTTGTAGCAGGTGACTTTGGGATAAACTGATATGATCATAAAAATTCTTTCACCTTCTAGAAGCTATATCGTATGCGGTTGACATAGGCTATAATTTATGTGGGTAAAGTCAGGAAACCACTAGTTTATAAATAACCTGTTTTCTAGACTATTGATGAGATAGAGATGATAAGATGAGAAACATAGTTGATTATGTCAAACATCAGTTTGTTGGTGTTGTCATCTCTGAGGTTGTGTGTCAATGAAGAAATTGAAGTTTTCTGTAAGGTCTGTGCTGGGTGCAGTAGCTTCATTATTTCAGATTTCTATTATCCAAGTCCTTTTTTTTTAATTTAATTTGGGATTTCGGCAATTTATATAATGTATGTGAGTCTTATTAAAAATGAAGAACCAGTGGAATGATTTGGCTAATTTTGGTATATTAGTAAGAACAATAATAGCCACATGTTTTGACATAGGTGTATTGCTTGTGAAGATAAACTGGACTCTGCATCAAATATTTTTTTTTGACTGTGCAGTTAATATGGTGACATATTGGCAACATTTTATGTGAAAATGTTTTTGGCGGGATTTGACTTCCTTTTGTAAGTTGCTTTTTATTTTCGTCATTTAAAAAATCCTCATTTGTCGGTTAATAATTTTAAATACTCATACTTATAAAAAATAAACAAAGTTATTGATGCCACTACTCAATTTGGTATATACGTAATATTTGAATGAGTCCTTATATGTTATCTATTTTATTAGTCTATAAGATATGGGAAAGATAATACTTATGAAATATTATAGTATATGAAAACATTCATTATGTTTATTATGATACTTTAAATTCCAGAATATGCTTTATAATATTGACTCAACAATCTGGTTACATAGAGCTCAAATTAATAAAAAAGTAGAAACTGTTATATTCAGTAAGATGTCTTTTAAACATACAGCAAATTTGACTTATAATCAAATAATATAAATAACAGGGAAAGAAAGGAAACATGAAATTTCACTATTTTTCTAAACAAACAGGCAATTCTATCATCTTCCATCATGTCATGATAAATTGTTGTTTTTAAATTTATCTTCTCTATTTGAACATCTAATGAGATAGCAATATTATCAAAGTGACTTTAGTGAAATTACTTATTTAGGGATTTATACATATGATATTGATTTATGCACACTTTGTAATAATTTGATTAAAAAAATGTTTACCATAAAAGAACCCTAAAATTGCTCTCCCCAAAAATTAGCAAAAAGGTGTTTAGATTCATTACCATTTTAAACATTGAAATAATATATTATTTGGGAAAATTGGAATAACTCATAATATTGTGTTATATATTGCTTAAGTCTCAGAAATCTTTCTTTAGATACTATAACTCCACTATCATGTTTACTTGAACTTTAACTTGTAATCAAAGAGAACAGTAAGGAAAATGTAGTAAAACTATCAAGCCAGATAAGTATATCTATAATATATAAAGCTTAATTATATATATAAAAATTAAAAAGGCAGTAATCATTCAAAGTAAAGTTACTATGTAGACTTAATTTCATCTATATAAAGGTAAATAATGTTTTATTACTTAAGGAATTGTGATTGGAAGAACGTCTATTAAATAACTTATTCTATGTATTCAACAAGTGTACATTATAATGTATTGTTTAGAAGTAATACAGTTCTATATAATCATTATGGTTTGGATTATGTGAAATTGAGACTAACAATTTTTAACCTTGTGATTATATGTATCGTGTATTCTTCCTTGAATCAAACTATTTTTTAGCGAGATAGAAAAATACTGACCATCACCAAAAAACTGCTTATTTAAATATTTCCAGCCCTCAACACGATTGTCATCAGTATCCATTGCAAAAGATGTTTACTTGATAAACTATATTATTTTAAAAATTAATCTTATTACGTAAAATTGATAAATTTTACCGACACAATCAACACTTACAGCGATGGTACGTAAACTGTCAATGTCAATCGATCGAATAGATAGACACGAGATGGGTTGGAGTAGTGTTGCGCGTACGATTCGTGTTTTCAAACCGATTTTATGTATTTGACTATTTATTGAGATGTTAAAGTTTAATAAAAATAATCTACTATAATACTTGTTGTTATATTGCAGCACAATGTTTGAAATATGTTTAATAAAATGTTAGAAAATAAAAACAATTTACATTTTTATGAATATAATACCGTAAATCAGCTTAATTAGATTTTTTTATATCGCTCCTATATTTCAAATGAAAACTCAATACTTCAAGAGACAATGAGAATTGGCACTATACTTGTATTACATCAGACCCTTGTGAATGAAATTAAAAAGGTACCAGTGGGTGGGCGACGCTATTTCAGCGAGTCCGGATACGTGGCATTCAGACATTGAATTAGCAAAAAGATCGTATAAACAATCACTCTTATGACTTAAGATCGAAAAACAATCTTATGATAGATCCCATTTCCAAATAGTTGTATAAAAGCAGCTCTCTTGATTTTTTAGCATTGCTCACACTTTTAGCTCTATAAAAATGTTGACTAAACGTGGACTCGACGAGTTCATATCGCATTTACTCGATATTTGTATAAAGGTATATCATGATCGCCTTCATTCAACCATTAGCCTAATTATAACTCTTTAAAAGCTACTGAATTGCTAATTTGTCATCAAACTAGCTTTTATAGAACTATCTTTCCACATTTGATTATTGCAACATTATTGTAGAGTAAAAGCTGTTTATTAGACAAAATAGCATTTCATTTACTATATCAGGACTTAAGGTCATATGATTGCTTGTTACTCAGCTTTCATTCTGCTTAACTATTGATGTTGAGTAAAAGCTTTCAAATTATCTCTCATAGCTTTAAAGATTGTCTAAATACTGTTTGAAAGCCTTTATTCAGCGTAAAAGTGGTATAAAAATCAAACAAAATCTTTAATAGCACTGTTTTTTTGCATCTCCATACAAAACATTAATATCTGTTTATTCTTGGAAAAATGGATTATAAAAGGTGGAAAATAATTAAGAGAAGTGGAGGTTTTAGACGAATAGTAAGCAAGATATATGCACAATTGAAACAATCAACATTTACATTGACTGCAACCACGGGTGAAGTACAATCAAATAATATTAGTAATCATCCTTTGTTATGAATTTATCTATATCCAAATAGACCACAATTCTATTATCATCTACAAAAAAGAACTACTTTATTAACAAAAAGAGACTCTTCTACAAAAAAAGACTTCTTAATTAACGAATTGTTATTATAATGTTGTACTTATGAACTTACAAAATATCTACTTAGTATTTAGTATCAATATTACACCTTTTGTTTAAAAAAGTCACTGATATATTTCAGTTATTTATCACTAACAATCACTTCATACTACACTTGTTCTAATAAAAATGATTAACATTTTCACCAAGGAACCCTAATCTAACTGCAAATGGCGTTTCTAAAAGTCATCAAATAGAAACCTCATTTCTTTTTCTTGACTAAAAGTTGAGTAAACGCTGTGAGAAGGTAAATTAGAAGCTAGTAATGGTAGTGGCGTAATCAATTCTCCTATTAAATTTATATTATTTGTTACTTATTAATTACTAAGTAATCTTGTGGCCCATGAAAATAGTATTCAAAATGTAATATATCACACGAAAAATTTAATTCCCCATATGAAAGTAGAACCTATAAACTAACTTTCACATATTACAAATACTTCATGTCATGTGGCTGTAAAATGTAATATGGCAAAATATTTACTTTGAAAAATAATTATTTCTTTTCTTGTAGACACACTGCGTCAACGTTATTTTAAGATAGTAAAAAAGGCTTTTTGAGTGCTGCTTGGTTGCTTTCACACGATCAAAGAGTCGAGTGATTGCAACACCACCACTTTATTACGATAAATAGATCGACTAAAAGAGTTCAAACCGACTTCGTAAAAGCTAATGTGTGATATAATGGCGTAATGACTTCTAATATAGGACTTTTAATATTCGAATTGCTTTTACTCTATATTCTTTCGAGTTTTTGGCTATTCAGCTGATTATCTTACGATATTTACAGCATTCATAGCCGAGAGAAGTGCGCCCAAATCGCGTCGAGTAAACGTGCACAGATCATTTATACGACATATTGA